GTTGGAACCCGGGGTCGTTTCGTGGCTGTGCAGGAATGACATTTGCATTTCGGTCAGGGCCGACGCTGCATTACTGCGAGAAACATCCTTCTGAGCAAGGGCTGACTGCGTCTGGGGTGTTCCAGGTTGGTGGACGACAGGCACATGGGTCGTTACGGGACCCTCGATAACGGCGGAAGCCACGAGCTCGGCCATACTGCTGCTCAAGAGAATCGACTCCATGGTCAAGGCAACGCCGTCGCGCTTGCATGCGGAGGCCAGCCCCAATGCAAGCAGTGAATGGCCGCCCAGGTTGACAAAGCTGGACTCCAGGTCCACACTCTCAAGGGGAAGTTGAAGAAGCCGGGCGGCATGGGAGACGATGATCTTCTGGGACTGCATGATGCTGAACGAATGCTAAACGATGAAATATGCTAATGATACAACAAGTCCTCAAGTGGTGTGTAATCTTGGGGGATTCTAGACGATTGAGGGGAAAGACTGTGATGTGTTCGCTGCGTTGCTGCGCTGATGGTGATAGAGTTGATGCCACGAGGAGACCCCTCTGCTTTTATGGCCGTCCATTTCGTATAGCTTCACCTCCAAGCTGCTCCAAGTTACTCATTTCGCTAGACGCCTTAGACTCTCCTCCGATGACGCCTTTCGCTTGGACGACAAATCCGGCAGGATCCCTCCCATCTCCGAAAACGTGGCCGCCAGGATCATGCAGGAATCACGATGTGAGTCGAAGTGTGAGTCGACATGCGAGCTGAGATGTGCCTGCGGAATTGAGACCCGCTAGTTTCAGAACACGAACGGTTGATTTTGGCCCCCAAGCCCGCGATCGAGAATCATACTGGGATTTCAACTCGTGTCAGAGTAAGAATTTAGGGCATCGCCCCAGTTGCTGCAGAATTTCGGATCCGCTGTCGGATCCGGCAAGCCTTATGCTTCGATCTGACAAGTCGTTCTGTCTTTCCTGTCATCGAAGTCGTCTAGAATCACCTTATTTGCCTATAAATAACACACTTTGCACGTCCTAACCGATTACTTTCCCAACCACATCCACTTCCATCCATCTTCTCCAACTTCATCTCCATCTCAGACACATCAACCTTCATAATGGCTCCTCCTAAGATTGCAATCATCGGTGGTGAGTCTATTCCTTTGCCAATGTGATAGTTCAGGGCTGACTTTTACTAGCGGGCCCTGCCGGTCTTACTTTGGCCCGTCTGCTGCAACACAACGGCATCCCCTGCATCGTCTACGAGGCAGAGGAGAACCGCCATGCTCGCACACAGGGTGGTTGCTTGGACATCCACGAGGGGTCTGCACAGGTAGCTCTGCGCGAGTGTGGTCTTTTCGAAGAGTTCATGGCTGTTGCCCGCACGGAGGGTGAGGTGTTGAAGATCTACCAGCCCGACGGCGCACTGCTGCTCGACGAAGGTTCCGACTACGGCGAGAAGCGCCCAGACTCATTCAATGGACGCCCAGAAGTCGACCGGGTGAAGCTGCGCAGCATGCTGATTGACTCTCTCGAATGGGGCAGTCTTCGCTGGGGCCACAAACTCAAGAAGGTCACCACTGAAGCCACGGGCACCCGTCTGCAATACGACCTGCACTTCCAAGACCACACAGAGACCGGGTTCGACTTGGTGGTGGGCGCCGACGGGGCCTGGAGCAAGGTACGCCATTTGCTTACGGACACCCGGCCCATCTTCTCGGGGATCTCTGGCGTGGATTTCAAGTACAGCGCCATCGACGAGGCGGACCCGGCTCTGGCCCAGCGTGTCGGCAAGGGCATGTGTCTGACCCTGGGCAGCCACACAACTGTGCTGTCGCAGCGGAACGGTGACGGCTGCGTCCGGACCTACGGGTTCATGCGGCTGCCGGAGGACTGGCACACGACGTGCGGCATCGACTGGACCCAGCCGCAGCAGGCCAAGCGGGAGTTCGTCGATCGTTACTATGAAGGGTTCAACGATGACTCCAAGAACCTTATGCTCGACGCCGACGATGATTTGGTGCCTCGCCCCATGTACATGCTTCCTATTGGTCACAAGTGGCAGCACCGTGCCGGGTAAGTTTTCCGTCTGTGCTTTTATTCCTGTTCCTTATCTGACATGTTGGATCTGAGCTAATTTTGGTCTCAGTTTGACTCTTATTGGCGATGCTGCCCACTTAATGACACCATTTGCGGGAGTTGGCGTGAACGTGGGGATGGAGGACGCTCTGGAGCTGGCACGGGCCATCATCGCGCGCAAGACCAGCTGGGAAGATGGCCAGCCTTTCGCAGGTGCGAATAGTCTCTCCGCCGCAGTGGGGCAATACGAACAGGCCATGTTCCCTCGTGCTGAGGGCTACGCCCGCGAGACGTGGATGTATCTCAACTTGTTCTTCAATGAGCGGGGTGGTCATGCCATGTGTGAGCACTTTGCTAAAGCGAAGGAGCAGGCCAAGGTGGAGGCTGCGGTGGAGAAGAAGCCTGAAGAGACGAAGACTGCGGAGGTGAAGCAGACGGTGGTGGTGGAGCAGGCCATTCCTGTGGAGTAAATCTGTTATTTCATGTTTGTTTCTAGAGCTATACCCAATTTAAACTTTCTCTTCACACATTTGTCTCCATAGTAGATCTTGGCGATTGGATCCGATGTAACATAGTTGTGTGGCTGTGGACCTGCTCGCGATTACTTTCCTTGCCAAGGTTTTGAATTCTGCAGTGCTGGAGAATTGGCGGAGCGCCAGCAAAGGATTTAACCTGCAGAAACCAACACTCCAGGCAATGAAAGGCGATTGGGGGCCAGCCAGCCGTTGCCTGAAGGTTATCAGTAGACCCTGACTGTCGATCACCATAGCCGATGTTTCAGATGTCAACTCTAATCACGGGTTATTTTTCCTTCAACTCTGCCTTGCCAGCTGTCATGAACCTTGTCACATAATCCCAGACCACATACTTCAATAGTCCTCGAAGTATTGACTGGGATATCCACTGATATCAGCCTTGTGTAACCCGGTGATAAGCTTAAAGGAGGGGTTTAATCTAAAAATAATGAGGACGGGAGAGTAGGGAAAGAGGCGCACATAAGCTTCTCGTATTGCCCGCACAACCGATAATCAACAACACAGGCAATGCTGCTGACTGTCTCTGTGTCAGAGTTATTCCAATGATGAGTCAACAGCATTGCCAAGTGGGCGTTTATTAATCATGTGAAAGTCCCGAGGATAACCGATTTACTTGGCAGAGCATCTTTTGAAACTTAGAAGAATATTCAATGCTGTTTTAACTCCAAACTATCAAAACTATCCGGTTTAATCCGGCAAATCAACAGGAGAGCAGAGTGGTCCTTCCACACTGCTTTCTCGTAAACATAAACACAAAGCATTCTAGTCCCAAACAAACTAAATCTCCAAACGCTGCCAACTAGTAAGAGTAAGGTCCGTTCATCTCTCCCGTCATCTTTCCTTCCGCCTTCAAGATGGCTGTGATGTTGTTCATGGCGCTCTCATGGAATCCCGCAAAGTCTGTCCAACATTAGTAAATCGACCAGTACTTGTCGGAAGCAACAAGACGTACCGTAAGCAGACGAGAAACAGGCATGGATGTTCCACAGCATGTAGGTCTCCTTCTTGCCAATGGCGTGCACATCCATCCACTCCCAGGTGCCACCAAGCTGGCCTGCGGGTCCAGAAGTGGTGTTGTAGTAGAAGGGCACGTCAGCCAGCCCGAAGGTGAGCTGGTAGCCCTTGTTACGCGGCAGCCACTTGAACGTTCTCAACTGATGACACAGTTAGCCGTGCTCCAGATCCTTGCCTTCAAAGTATCATGCTCACCTCTTCGGTCATCGGATACACGCCGGCGTTGGGAAGTTCTCCATACAGAACACGCTCGGCTCCCGGAGTGTAGGGCTCGCCATGAGTCTCGCTGGGGCTGGTACCAAACCAGGCCGTTTCAAAGACTATCCCAGTCAGCCACTGCAGAAGAGATAAGCATGAGGGTTTCACAAACAGTTGGCAGTAATGTCCGAGATATCCTTCGCGGGTACTGGCCAGGTCGCCCAGCTGGTGGAGTTTTGCAAGAAGGTGCCCGTAGGACACGAGCAAGGACGAGGAGTCGCGTCGCAGGCAGGGAGGGCCTTGTGGTTGCCTCCGGTTGGCAGGGCCAGGGCCGAGAAGACGAAGGTTGCAAAGGCAAGAGGGAAGTACATGGTGGCTGATGGAGATGGAGATGAGATTGTAGAGATTGAGATCGACAGAAGATCGCTGGGAGTTTGGTTTCTTGAGGTGATTGCTGTGATTGAGGTGTTGAGACTGTTCATGGAGTTCATCAACTACCAGTCTGGTTCCTTATATACTTCTTCAACGCTCTCATTTCAGTCCTGACCATTGTAACTTCCTTGGTCTCGCCCCCACTGGTTTGAATCCTGTCTACATCTGCCTCTTGGTATGAATCCTGATCCGGTCCGGCGTAGCGAAGGTGTACCAGTTCTGGCATTGTGGTCGCAACAGAAGGATGTATCGAGGAGCATAGCCCCCTCCCCCGCCCAAGATTACGAACTTCATCCTTCGTATCCTTTGTTCTGGAAGGCTAGGCATGACATAACATTGAAGTCAGTTTATCTCGTTGATGATTGGATACTGATGGGATGGTTCCGCACGGATGAGATCCATGGTTTCAGCTTGAGGATTTGCATACCCGATCAGCACTAACATCTCAGCTCGTCGCATGGCATGGCAATGAGCCTCCTGCAACTCGTATACTACCCGAATGTCGTTAGCGAGATCTATACACCACGTCGGATAGCCACGTGGGGGCCAGGCAGGTGCATCTATGCCTGTCAGAATCCTGCAGGCGGACATGTCGGAGACTGCACCGGTTCGGATCCGATCGGACCAGCAAGCATGCAGTGCCGTTCAGGCCGAACAGCATTGAGATCCTTTATGTTGTGGAAGAATTGCAAGAAGAATGGTATGATAGACTCTATTGTGTGGGAGCTTCTGTCTCTGTTGTCCCAGAACTAGTGACCATGGCTGGATCCATCGCCCTCAACACGCGAGACACTATCATTGAAATCCGGGTGCGCCAACCCGACGCTCTCCCGCCACCTACCAGCACTACTACTTCTACTACTCCTCGCATTGAGGAGGTGGAGGAAGAGTCGATTGAACCGCATCAAGTTCCTGGGGAATGGCCCGATGTTCCCGTTCCTGTTGCCAGACCCCGGGAAGGACTGGAACGCAACGCCAGCCGACGCAGCCGTACCAGGCGGCTCAGCCAGCGTCTCAGTGTCTCCAGCGATATCTTCCACGATGCGATTGAGGCCCAGGGCTATGGCGCAGCAGGCGCAGGATCCAAGCGTCTGAGTGGGATATACCGTCACTCCATCATTGAGGACTCAGTTGAAGCCCTGGGTCTTACAGAACCGACCGAGCAACTGAAGGTCGAAGAGCAGGAGGAACCACCCACCAAGACCAAATACGGACCCCGAATCTGGGCCATCATGGTGGCACTGTGTGTGACGAATCTGCTGGTTGCGTTGGAAGGAACAGTCATCTCGACGGCGCTGCCGACCATTGTGGAGGACCTGGGCGGCGGCGAAGCGTATGTCTGGGCTTCGACTGGATATTTCCTCACCAAGTAAGTTGCACGGTTATATTACTGTCGTCATGGATGCTAATAGCTTATAGTACCGTCTTTCAACCGCTGTATGGGCAGATGGCCGACATCTTTGGCCGGCGATGGCTGATCATCTTCGCGGTAGCCATGTTTGTGCTGGGCAGCGGCATCAGCGGCGGCGCACCGAGCATGAACGCCCTCATTGCCGGTCGCATCATCCAGGGCATCGGAGGTGGTGGTATTACACTGTTGGTGAACCTGATTGTGTGTGATCTGGTGCCCTTGCGCGAACGTGGTCGTCTTATGGCCATTGTTTTCGCGGCCGTCTCCGTTGGCACCTCGCTGGGCCCCATCGTCGGAGGACTGATCGTGCAACAAACCACCTGGCGCTGGGTCTTCTATCTCAACCTGCCAGTCGGAGGTATTTCCATGGTATTGTTGTTTGTCTTCCTGCAAGTTGGTCATCGCAGCGAAGAAACCTCTATCAAGCGCCGCCTGAAGCAAATCGACTATGGCGGCAACCTCATCTTCATCCTGGCCATCTCATTCATTCTGGTCGCTCTGGCGTATGGTGGCACACTGTGGCCGTGGAAGTCATACTCGGCTATTATCTCGCTGGTCTTTGGTTTCTATGGAGTCGTTGTGTTTATCTTCTACGAACAGAGCAACTTCTGTCGACAGCCCACGCTGCCCATGCGTCTCTTCACGCGCCGCACCTCAGCCACCGCCTTCACCATCACCTTCATCCAGTCCATGCTCACCCTGCTCGTCATCTACTTTCTTCCGGTCTACTTCCAGGCCGTGCTTCTGGCCTCTCCCATTCGGTCAGGTGTGATGATGCTCCCAACAGTACTGGTGTTGGTACCAGCCTCGGTAGTCAGCGGCGCCCTGCTATCCAAATTTGGTCGCTACAAGCCCTTCCACTTTATCGGGTTCGCGCTCTTCACCCTGGGCTTTGGCTGTTTTATCACGCTGGATGAAAACTCACCAGATGTTGCCTGGATCATGGTGCAGATCGTCGTGGCCCTGGGATCGGGCTCATCTCTGAGCACACTTCTACCCGCTGTGCAAGCCGAGTTTTCGGATCAGGACACCGCGGCTGCTACAGCGGCATGGGCCTTTGTGCGCCAGTTTGGTGTGGTCTGGGGTGTATCGGTGCCGTCGGCAATTTTTAATGCGCAGGTGCAACACGATCTGTCGCGGGTCAGCAGTGACAGTGTCCAGAAGACGCTCAGTGGTGGAGCAGCCTACGAGCATGGTACTAAAGACTACGTCAACTCGCTTAGTGGGGATGTGCGAAAGCAGGTCATTGGATTGTACGCAGACAGCTTACAGATAGTGTGGATTTTCGCGACTGTAATCGCAGGAGTTGGATTTTTGTTGGTGTTCTTGGAACGGTAAGTCGATCTTGTGGCAGTGTACATTCGGATGGATGCTAATGGCTACAGTGAAATTACGCTGCGGACGAAGCTGGACACCAAGTATGGATTGAAGGAGGAGAAAACGGCGGACTCATCTAATGCATAATGGCATATGTTTTGAGAATTTTGTCTTTGTATATGGCGTCGGTGTTGTTACTGTTAGATAGTTTACGAATACCATGAATTATGCATTCAATTCTCTGCGTGTCTACATCCTGTAATAATTCTAATAAACAAGTACAGGGCACGCATAAGCCCATCGCTGCTATGACTCCTCCCCTGCATCTGTCGCTTCTACTCTCCATGCTTAGTACTGCCTCAGCTCACCACACGAGATTGCGCCATCTCACGACTTACTGCTTGGCTTTGAGTGGCTCCGTCGCTAATCCGGTCGCTCCTATGGGGCGTTGGTGGAGAGCCACGCGAAAAGAGGATCTTTCTTTAAGCGGACCGTGCAGGATCTGACCGATCCACTCTGACTGCATCCCGTATTGCATGTTTCAGCCTGCGGGTGAGCATATCCGGCCTCGGATCCGATTTCCTGCTCCGTGGCCCCCATGAGGCTATCCGCATCGGTCGCGGCATCACCACTTGAAGTATATAGATGGCCATGTCTGAACTCAGAATCCGAATAGCAATCATCAGCAAAATACCAGCATTCACCATGGATACGACCATTCTCCTCGCGGGCCAGGCGGTCCTCATCGTGGTCATCCTGGTGGCCGTCAAATTCCGCACCCTCATAACAAACACGATCAATCGTTTGATCTCTGCTATTCTTAGAGTAAGCGCGAATTCCTGAGACACATCATGACTTCAGCTCACATCTCAGGTTCATCTTGCACGTCGCTTTCCCGTACATCATGTCGATGACAATAGTCCGCTGCCCACCCTGCCGTACCAGTGGCCCGATGGACAGGGTGACGGGGCCAAGTTCTTGCAAGGTCAAAGCAACTCGGAGCGCTGGGAGCGTCAATTCGGAGCCATTTACCGTCTCTGGTCCGGCATGAACCCAGAAGTGTTTGTCTAACCCCTCTTGCAGCTTAACGGCAACTACTAACAATTGTAGCGTCCTCACCCGTCCCGAACACATCCAAGCCGTCTTCAAGGACTCGCACACCCACCTCAAGGCCAAGAACAACAACTCGGGATACCTGCTCGGAGAGCTGCTGGGTCAGTGTGTTGGACTTGTCAGCCAAGATCAATGGCAGCGCGTGCGTGCCATCATGGAGAAGCCCTTCCACCGTAACGCCTCGACGACCTACATCCCGCTCGTCAAGCGCCGCACAGAGCAATTCTTTCAGGAACTCTGGGATACCAGCGACCTGTCCCGAGGCCTGCTCGACCCAGCAGATGATCTCAAATTGCTCCCCTTCCTGGTAGTCGCCGAAGTCGTCTACGGTCGCCTCGCCCCGGATGTCGAGGCAGAGCTGCGTCGCCTGGCCCCGCAACGCGAGAACCTGATGAAGCATGTCATCAAGGGGGGATTGACTCGTTTCGCCTGGTCGCGTTTCCTGCCCACGCAAGCCAACCGCGAACTGGCCGCTTTCCAGCAACGTTGGCTGGCTTTCAACGAGCTGGCACACCGCCGCGCCGTTGAGCAGAAACTCAATGCCCCTATCATCGACTTCTTCGCCGCCCGGGATGCCGGTCAAATCAGCACCCAGGAACTCCTGCACACACTGGACGAGATGCTCTACGCCAACCTGGACGTGACGATCGGCGGCGTCAGCTGGAACGTGGTCTTCCTTGCCGCATACCGCGACATCGCCCAGCGTCTCCGCGAGGAAGTCGAACAGCAGCGGGCCATCTCCGTGGACGGCGAAGTGGACGCCTACCTCCTCGACAACAGCACCCTGCTTGCCGCCTGCGTGGAAGAATCCGCGCGTCTCCGTCCCCTTGCCGCATTCTCCGTGCCACAGGCTATCCCCACCGCCAGGACAGTAGGTGGGTACCACTTCCCCGCCGGGACCAACTTCGTGGTGGATTCATACGCGCTCAACATCCGGAACCCGTACTGGGGCGAGGAGCGCCACTTGTACCAGCCCGATCGGTTCCTGGCGAGGAGCTTAACCCAGGCACGATACCACTTCTGGCGTTTTGGGTTCGGGCCGCGGCAATGCATGGGCAAATTTGTGGCGAGTGTGGTGATCCGGGCGATCTTGGTGCATTTGGTGGAGGGGTATGACTTGCGCATGGTCAAGCCGGAGGCAATGGAGGAGTGGGGCAGGAATAAGGAGATTTGGATTAATCATCCGGACATGAAGGTGGTGTGTGAGAAGAGGGCCTAGATAGTACTGTTGGCTATGTGGATGGATGGATGAAAATATGATAGATCTGTGTGTATCTACGTGATTTTAGCGATTATGAACTTGTCTAGATGTTTGATGTTGCTTGTGCGGGTTCCTTGGTAGCTTCAGCGGGAACGGGAGGTAACCGTGGATGGGAGGGGCAATTCACATGGCCCCTTGCTTTGTTCTATTTGTAATGCCCCTGAAGGAATCTCATCAGTAGTTATATCGTGGGTGGAGTCATCTGGAATGGAAGCAAGGGATGTGTGGCGATCCGGAAGATGCCGAGTGGAGTCGGCGATCTGGGACTATCTGGATCTAGATAGATGATCTGGTGATAAATGGAGTGGGGAATAAATTTGTGTATTATAGATGGGTACTACGATAATTCATTAGGTGTTCTTGAACATTCATCCATTTTCATCCATTCATCAATTCTGTTGCGCCGCACTCTCTGTGCTGAGGGATGTACTTTAGGGCACTACCAGAGCGGAATATATATCTTCGCTGCAGCGGCATTGCATCACCATCTACACTCATACCACTTACATTACTGTGATGAATATAGTTAGAACTTCGGCAAACATCCCTGCTTCTTTCCAGAATGAATCTCAACAAAGAACGAATCCCTGGAGCACGCGACCACACCCACGGTTGAACCGGGTTCAACCCCCTCGGGGAACCCCTGACCCGGAGATAACCCCCAAATCAGCCAGGAAAAGCCCGCCCCGAGCTCTGATCAAGGAATGATCCTTCACACGGCTTCCCTACCACTCAGATCGGCCCCGCTACAAGTGTCGGATCAAAAATGATCTGCATGCTTACCATATGGTCTTCTCCGTCCGGACGAGTCGATACCTGTCCGGTCGGATCCGAGTGCTGGTCCGGACAGAGCCTCGCAGCCGGCAGGGTATATAGGCCCTCTGGCGCCATCAGCAATGAACTTCTCTCCATCAGCTACAACTGCAATCTGATTACACTATACAAAACGAGCAAGGAAATTAACCAGAAAAAACAACAGACGATTCCCTCCAGATCCTTTCCTCTCCATACCACTCAACACAAACCCCTGCAATTCACAACATATCACCATGCGCGTTCTCGTGATTGGCGGAAGTGGACGGTGTGGCAAGCTGGTCATCGATGACCTGCTGAGTCGTGGTAAGTGTCTCTCGCATCAACCTGCATGTCATTGGTTGTATCGGCTAAATTGCTAACAATGAGATCCAGGCCACCAAGTTACGACGTTGGCCCGCAAGCCCGAATCTCTGGGTGGAGCTCGTGCCGGGCTGAAGGTAGTCCAAGGTGAGTCTTAGTCGTCGTCTTAGTGCCTCTTAGTCCTCGCAGTCCCTCTGGATATGCGCGAAGGAATATCGACTCCAGATTGACTAACAGAAATCCATCAGGAACCCCCACCGAACTCGAGGATGTCCGCGCCGCGTTCCAAGCCGACATTCCCGATGTGGTAATTGTGACACTTAACGCCCCACGGGCCAGCGACAGCCCCTTTGCGGCGCCCATCTCACCTCCTCGGCTAATGACCGACTGCAACTCCAACGTGCTGGCGGCGATGAAGGAGTTTGGGGTACGCAAAACGGTCATCCTGCAGGCATTTGGGGTTGGGGAATCGTGGGACAACATGCACTGCGTGCTGCGGCTGCTGATGAAGAAGTCCAACATGTCGTATCAGTATGACGATCACAACGCGACGGCCAAGGCGGTGCAGGCGAGTGGACTGGACTATGTGATGGTGCGACCGTCGCGGCTGGTGGAGACGCCCGATGCCAACCAGCCGGTCAAAGTGTGGCCGGATCATGGCAAGGGCGTGCCCATGATGGCCAGTACCAGTCGCATTACAGTGGCCCGCTGGTTGGTGGACGCCGCGGAGAGCAACAAATGGGATAACACGGCACCCGTGATCACCAACTAGAATCTTCCTCGATCTGTTCTACTACTGGGCACATCTCTTGCATCTCACGAGGGCCGATCCGGGGCGGAGCGGGTGGGAAGCGGAGAATTTTGAGGAGACGAACCGAGAGAAAGAACGACGATCCATCGGATCGACAGGGCAAATGATTGATGGACGGTTAATGTTTCTTTTTTTATATTATTCTTTTCTGTCTAACGTTTCATCTTTTTCTGGGCATTTACAACCTGGCATGGCGTGAACTTTGAATGTATGTTATCAGATGTCTTGGCCTCGTATTAATTGTGGCTTTTTTACTTCAGCAAAATGCGATAAACTTTCTTCCTTCTTCAGCCGATGATTTTCAGATTTTCAGGGTCCCCCATCTGGTCTTGGCCTGCTCAGGCAGCAATACGAGCCAAACGCGATTCGATACGAGGCTGAGGTAAGCAGATCCGCTGCAGCCTGGTGACTTACTGAAAGAAGTAGGCGGTGAACGGGTAAACAAAGAGAACCTGCACTCATGGTCTGTGTGGCTACCTGAAGAGTACCTCCAGTGGGGGAAAAGTGGAGAGAGACACAGAGTCTCGCTGTCAGGTTGTTGTGGTTCAAGATCCACCAGTCGAACCAGAAAGTAGACTAACAGCTGGAGAGGACCAGACAAGCAAAGCAGTGCTGGGGTGGATTGTCAGACTTGGCTGTAACTTGCGGATTCGTCCCATCGCCAATAATCTCCCCGTCTTACATTTCCTGCATCCACTTTCGACAGCCCCTGCTGCTCCTGCTGCTACTGCTGCTACCGCTGCACTGCATTCGCCTTGCACGCCTGTCAGCTTAGCCATAGTGTTGATGTGACCGTGGCCCAGTCACACTTACGAAACCTGCTGGTCTTTATTATTGTCTCCCCCTCACACGCCAACCTTAACCCCCATTCTCTCCTTGGACTGGTTCCCCTTGTGCGACTTTGTTTCCCCCATCGCCGACGCGAGCAACTCTTTGAACTTCTCTTTGCCAGCAATGAGTCCCGTGTCTGGCCAGATCTCCCCGCCCACCGAGCTGGCCGGGGACGCTTCCCTGACCCGCAAACGTCCCCGGCCCGTGGTCTCGTGCTTGCGCTGTCGCAAGAAGAAGCTCAAGTGCGACCGGGTCATGCCCTGCGAGAACTGCTCCAAAGCTGGTTGTGCCCCCGACTGTGTCTTCCATCCCAGTCCCGATGGCGTGGATAATGTGCCGGACCAGCCCAGTGCGAAGCGCATGCATCTGCCACCTGACTTCCCGTTCCCCTCCGATCCTCGGGGCGATCCGGCCAGCGCCAGGCTGCCTCCGCCGCCCGCCGCCATCGGCCTGCTGGAGGATCTCCAGCAACGCTTGCAGCGTGTTGAGGAGGTGCTCTCCTTGAAGCCGCTGACTCGTTCGTATGCTGGCTCCCTTAAGGATGTGGTGGCTCGCGATGCCAGTCCATCTGTCCGCCAGACCACTCCGTCGACCCATGCTCCCCCGTATCCCGGCACTTTGGTTGTCAAAGGAAAGGGCACACGATCACGTTACCATGGCCAGAACAACCGAACCACTCTCTTGCATCAGGTAAGTCCCCCTTCTAGATTTGTTGGTGGAATGCGTATCTGACCATGTGCAGTTCTCCGAAGCGCGAGAATTCATCGAACGCTGCACCAAGGATTCCGCCATTTTGGGGCTGGCCAAGGAAGTGCAATTTCTACAGAGCAAATCTAAGATGCCCATGAGCTCCCCCGAATCCATGCCCGATCTCGACTACTCTCCCGAGCTGCTGCAAATGCAGAGCTCCTTGCCGTCTAAAGCGGTCTGTGACCGACTCGTGAACCTGTACACCACCAACTTTGAACGCACCCTGCGCATGTTGCATGTCCCGTCTTTTCTCCGCCAGTATGCCGACTTCTGGGACGCTCCAGGCCCGGACGCGGAACGCTCCGCCACCTTCTTGCCGCAACTGACGGCCGTCCTGGCCGCCGCGCTGCCCCTGGAAGACCCCAGCTTCCGACTCGAGTATTCCTCTGTCTGGGAATACCTGCAGACGCCCGCCGTCAACCTCGTCCGCGTGTGGCTGCAGAAACTGGGGCGCAAGCAGCGCACGGAGCTGGTCTCGTTGCAGATCGAGGCACTCGTGTTGTTGGCGCGACGACTGCGGCTCGCCTCGCAGGAAGAGCTGTGGCGCGCCACCGGCACGCTGGTGCGGTCGGCCATGGTGGTGGGCCTGCATCTGGATCTGTCCGGGAATAAGCAGCTGTCACCGTTTCAGATCGAAGTGCGGCGCCGCTTGTGGATTACCATCGTAGAGATGGACCTGCAGACCTCTATCGCATCGGGTATGCCCGTGACCATCCCGGATCTGGATTTTGATCCGCTTATCCCGACCAATCTGAATGACACCGATTTCGATGAATCCACCACGGAGCTGCCGCCGGCGAAACCCCTGCACGAGTGGACGGATACCCTCGCGCAGGTCACGTTGGCCTCCTCGTTACCCCACCGCATCCGAGCCATGTCGATGGTGCGCACCTCGAGCCCGGGAATGGATCTGCGTGACATTGTCAAGCAGGGTCGGCGCCTGGAAGAATGCCTGCGCCAGATCCCTCCTCCGCTCAAGCTGGACCCGTCACCGATCCATGGGGAAACTCCCGGGCCAGCCCTGCTGTTGAACCGGGTGCTGCTGGACGTATACATGCGCCGGCCGTTGCTGTGCCTCTACCGGCCGATCGTCATGGGCGAGAGCCGCGAGGATCAGCTCTTCCTGGAGATCGAGCAAGCGTGTCTAGAGTCGTCGCTAGTGGTGTTGTCGTACCAGGATTACTTCGACCCGAACGTGGCGGACCTGGACGTCTTCAAATCGACCGCCTACTGGGACGTATTCCAGCTTTTCTGCAAGAATGACATCCCGTGGGCTGCGCTGAGCGTATGCGGCTATATGAAACTGTCCAACCAGCAACACTCGGGTGCCCCAACACCAATGGCACCCGCTCCCGCCTACTCGCCCAGTCAGCCGACGACTACCCATACCAAGGCCAGCCTTACACGCATTGTCGAGAATACCCTCGACGGGCTGACCCGCACGATCGGCGAAACCGGCAGCAACATCAAAGATGTGATGCTGCTGGCAGTGGTACTGCAATCGGTGCGGGCGCGGGGGTCCGCCGAGCTCAAGGAGCGGTGGATGCAGCAGGGGGCTGTGAAGGCGTTGTCGGCCTGTCGGCAGCATCTGTTGCCGTCTGTAGCGCAGCAATCGTTTGCGTTTAATTTGACGGATTTTGCACAGATGGTATGTCGTCCCCATTCCTTTACATTGTTCTTCTAGGAAGTGCCATCGATTATGCTAATCTACTCTAGCTTCAAACTACACAGCCTATCTTCCCCACTACCACGGACCCAGGCTACACGCCGTCCACGCAGCCCCAGCTGCCTGACTTCTTAGCGGAGTCTTCTGCTTTAGCAACAGAGTTCAACAACTTTCGCGGCGATCCATTTGCGTTTGAAGATGGATCGTTTGCATGGAATATGTAAATCCAGTGCCTGTATTATCATCAGTTTGTGGATAATGCGGCCTACGACGAATGACGCAGCGATATGCATTGCTTTGCAGTCACAGTCAGTTATGAGTATTTGGTTACAATCAGTTAATCGCTGATTTGGTTCTGAGCAAAAAAAGTCGGATGGTGTTTGGTGCTCCATAGATGATGCGGGATGGGTGGAATGTACATAGCGCCCTCCTTTCACTGTATTCAGTTGTTGACGAGACTTCTCGGTGTATTAGTTTAAATGTGTATTTACTTGATATCTTAGTGTACTTGTGTGTGAATGGATACCCCGGTGCAAATTGTCTGCATATTGAAGAGCTGTGCTGTGGTACATTTCCACCATAGACCATGTCTTCACGACCAACTACCCTGCATCAACACCACACCACCCCTGTCTATAATCAACAAGATAACTATCATCTGTATATACATCAGGCATGAACCGGCCATCTCCTCGGACAATTCCAAAGGGGTAACCCATCCCCAATACCCCGACGCCTATCGGATCCGGGCTCGGATCCGGACCGACCAGCTCAGCTCAGCTCAGCCTTCCGCCCGACGTCGATCATTCCATAGTAACCGACACTACCATCAGTCAGCCAACACTGTCACTGTCCGTGTAACACTTCCCCTATACTCCATTATGTGCTGGCATCGGACAGCTGGGTAATTCCGAGATGAGTCGGGCCACGGGGTTAAGGGGCGGAAACTTTGAAACTGGACGCCTTGTGAATGACGGCGAGGAATGTGGTATATAAGGAACCAAGTCCCGCTGTAGTCTTCGGTTCATCAGACTCAGCACAGCACAGCATCACAATATCACAGCATAGCAAGCACTTCTCTACACACATATCTACAGCATCTATAACATTACAGCACATTTCTGTACAGTTTACGTCTAATTATCTCCTGCAACCACCATGTCCACCCACGTCGCCATCATCGGCGCCGGCCTCTCCGGCCTGGCCCTAGCCCTCTCCCTGCACCAACAATCCATCCCCTGCACTCTCTACGAGGCCCGCTCCGCTCCACTGAACATCGGCGGAGCCATCATGCTCTCCCCCAACGCCCTCCGCATCCTCGACACCCTAGGCGTTTACTCCCGGATCCGCTCGGAAGCCTACGACTTCGACCACCTCTACTTCCGCTCTCCCGCCGACACTCCCCTGGACACATACGAGTTCGGCGGCGCCGCCAAATACGGCTACAGCGGGATGCGCATCTACCGCCACGTGCTGATCCGGGAACTCTCCGCCATGGTAGCGGAAGCCGGTGTGCCCATCCACTACCACAAGAAATTCAGCCGGGTGATCACGGAGACCGAATCATCCATCACCTGGGAATTCGAAGACGGGACCACCGAGACAGCTACCTGTCTCGTCGGCGCCGACGGCATCCACTCCAAGGTGCGGAAGTACCTGTACCCTGAGCTGGAACCGAAGTTCATGAGCGCCATGGCCGTCACGGCCGCCGTGCCGACGGCTCAACTCGCCGTTCCGGAGGGGTACAACATGCCAGTGACGATCATGAACAAGACGCACGGCGCGTTCGTGATCGCGCCGCAGCTACGGGATGGATCCGAGGTGTTGATTGGACGACAGAAGCGGTCCGCGCAGCTCGACCGGGAGGGATGGAATAAGCTGATGAACGACAAGGACTGGTGTGTGGATTTCCTGCGCGAGGGAGCGGACGAGTTCCCTGAGATTGTGCAGCGGGCTCTGTCGGATATCTCGGCGGAGAAGATCAACCTGTGGCCGTTTTATATGGTTCCGAAGTTGGACAAGTGGAGTTCGGAGCACTCGAGGGTGGTGATTCTGGGTGATGCGGCACATGCGATTCCGCCGTCTGCTGGGCAGGGGATTAATCAGGCGTTTGAGGATGTGTATACTTATGCGTTGATTCTGGCGAAGTGTGAGAAGGCTGGGTTGGAGCGGGCGCTGAAGATTTGGCAGCAGGGGAGACAGGAGAGGGTGGATAAGGTGTTGGCGTTGAATGCGCGGATTGATAAGCGGAGGATGCCGAAGCCTGCTGGGGGTGAGGAGAAGGAGGCTGAGGATGAGAAGCCGTTTGAGTTGGGGTGGTTGTATAAGCCGGACTTTGGGGCTATGGTGGAGGAGTGGTTGGCGAGGGAATGACTGCATGGCTGTGGGACTGGCAGTTGGAAGTATTGGGTGAAATTGGGTGCTATTTCGGGTGTTTTGGGCTTGTTGATGATGAAATTGAGAGCGTGATTGTGTTATTGTTCGCTTTCATGATGTTTATTGCTTGAAAAGTGTTTGGATGGTAATATAGGGTTTTAATGGCATTTGCTTGTTCTACTACGATTTACATCACTTGTCTATCAGACAAACGGGTAATTGCTCTTCCCTCTCGGTACCCTGCCAACTATACAGTAACAGACCGTCTTACTCCGCGATACGAGACATCAGCGCATACAATGAAATCAAGGAACATGACATCACTATATCACAACTCAGCAACGCGGTTCGCTTCTTCGGTTTGCCGTGGGTCCGAGACCGAGGCTGACAAATTCGCACAATCACGACCCGCTCGTCGACGACAATCACTATATATGGAGAGAGAAGAGACAATCTAAGAGTCACTCATCATAGCGACAATGGCTCCTGTCATCGTCTTCGGTCCAACTGGCGCGGTCGGCTCGGCCGCCGCGCGCACCGCCCAGCAGCTGGGAACCACAGTGTATCTCGCCATGCGCGACCCCACGAAACTCATTCCTGGTCTCAGTGTGGAGAAGGAACGCGAGGGAGGTTTCAAACGCGTTCAGGCCAATTTCTCGCAGCCAGATACCATCTCCACTGCGGTAGCACAGAGCAAAGCAAAACACGCCTTCATCTACACCGATCTGACCTCATCTGACCACATGCGATCAAGCTTCACCGCTCTTAAAGAGGCCGGTATCGAATCGGTCGTTCTGCTGAGCAGCTTCGGCATCCAGGAAGATGTTCGCAATGTGTCGCCTGAGGATCACATCGCCTATGTGCACGCGCAGGCCGAGATCTCCCTGCAGGAGGTTTTCGGAGAGAATGGGTATGTAGCGGTGCGGCCGGGCTTTTACGCGAGTAATACGCTCTGGTGGAAGGCTCCTATTCAAACTGGACACGTGAAGCTTGCTTGGCCAGCGGCACCTTTTGACTGGATTTCTCCGGAAGATATTGGAAGCGTTTGTGGCACGATCCTTGCCCGCAGGGCCCAGGGAATTGATTTGTCATTGACCGAGTCGTACGTCAATCTGGTTGGCGCGGAGCAGATGGGCGTTGGGGATGCCGTCAAGACCATCGGAAAAGTCCTTGGCAAAGAGGTCAACGTCACCGAGGTGGATGTTAATGTAGCCTTGGACAGTCTAGTGAATGAGTCCGGACTGCCCGAGCCGATCGCGCGATCAGTGCTAGGATTTTGCGAGAGCGCTACGACCGGCCAGTCCTTTATTGACAGTCCCCGGTATGGTCCTGCAGTTGGCAATATTGAAAAGTACCTTGGCCGGCCAGCGACAAGGTTGCATGAGTGGGTAGAGGTGAACCGAGAGAAGTTCAGTGCTTGAGATCTGCTTTGCTACCTTTCTGGGCAAGCTTCCAACAAAACATCTCTTAGTAGAATAGCTGCGGAACAGTGTCATTAATTTCAATAGCAATCTTCACATTTCCCAAGAGATTCTCCGTTTGGCTCATATCTATCTGGTAAGCTGGTAGCTTCGAATGCATATTGCGTCGGTCGCATTCTGCCGAGGTCATACAATCTCCCTTGAAACTGAAATGAGCTTCTGGACACATGGTACACAGACGGCAGTATAACATTCTATATAAGATAGGCGCTACCATGTATGAAACGGTAGCCTTTTTCAAAGCATCAATATAAAGGCGAGACAAGCAGCACCTTTGCTAACATACCAGGAAATAAACAGATCCATGCTTTCCACCAGGAGCCAGTGGGTGAATAACAAGAAAAGAAAGAAAACAGAACTAGGTGTGCTTTGAGAGAGCGAACAGTGGTCAGCCTGTTTCCATAGCTATTTGGTTGACACTTATCAGAGCTATACGGGCCACCTCTAAATTTACAGCTTGTTGTGTCTATGTGGCTCGCATGATGAATAGAGCCGAAGGGGTAAATCCGTGCGTAAGGATAGGAAACGAGTGGATTTTAACGATAGAGGAATGTCTGACAATCCGCACATGTAGTTCTACCGTGCTAGAAGCCAACCCCATTCACTCTAAATCGAGTCACCAGCAGACCTCAGCGACTCAGTATGTAGATAATTCCCCTTCATTTGATCCGTTCCAAGGTAAAATACAAACAGTCTTCGTCCTGGCTAGATTTGTCATGATCAAGGCTTTCCATCACCCCAATGACTGTATTCTCATCAACATAGCGAAAATGGTCAATAACTGGTCGTTGATTATAGACCATTGCGGCGGATACAGTGTCGTTACATTTGATTTCGCGAATCTTGACAATCAGCCTCTGATAATACAAGGGAAATAAAGGACAACGTACCCGCGCACCACCCCAATTGGGGTTACAAAAGCGACAGCCATTGTCGTCGAGGCACACCATGGGCTCAACCTGGTCGACTCCATAGAAATTCTTCCCAGCCCATTTGACACTGTGAAGGACCCCCACAAGCTTATTGCCCGTCAGGACAGCAAGGCCCTGCCATTCACCTAGCATGAAGCCTGGGTGAACAGGAGGTCTCTCGTCGAAATAAGTCTTGACCTCAGCAGGGCTGATGGCCTCTTTTGCGCGGACGCGTTCGATAACACTGCACGGTACGAACATCAGTGCTGGGGTACAGATAAGTTCACGCTGTATAGATTTACCTAGGCATGATGTCTGATTGTTGGAAACAAAGGAAGAATACCTTTGTAGCGTGGTTAATGAAGAACCTTGCAAGTTTGGAGAAGGTCTGGGTAGGTTATTTGTACGTCCAGTCCTCGTAAGTAACATGAGAATTATCCCGGCTAATTTCTTGATCTTGGTGTGTGTAACATACAAGCGATCAGAAACTGTTGCTAGCTCAATTTGGATGATGAATCTCGCAGATCTCGCAAATCATGGAAGAAAGTGATGTTTCCATGATGCGTGTGACGCACCAAGGATAGAATGGTTATGAATACCGTCATCAAGAATATCCCTTACCGGTGTCTGTCAGCTGGGACAGTCCTTGCTTCGCTGCAATGGACGGCATGCGGGCAACATGTAGGGAACTGTATAAGGCGGGATCACCATGGGACTCTAAAAGGCCAGTGGGTCTGCCCGCACGCAGTCTGTGGATGTCCAAATGTCGTTCGGTCCGTCCATGACATTATGCCGAGATAGCTCGAGCCTTTCGCGGCATGAGCAGCAAGTGACTCCCTAGATGACATGCAGAGCTAGAGAATTAGCAGCGTAAAACACAAAGAAAGGTCAGTTATTCTCCCCCAGCAGAATGCAGTAGTGCGGAAGAGCAACACAAGGCTTGCTGATTAAGCTGTATCGTCGCACTAATATGGAATCTTTTAGCCTCGCGTGCTCAGAGAGACTATCACCGACAGACTATGATTCAGTGTCAGTCACAAGTATGGCGTGAAACTGACTTTCAGAACAAAGAAATAAAAGGGTCGAGATATAGCCGAGATGCAGCCTCCGACAGGGATGTCCATCCTGGCCCATCTCCCGGATTGACTAAATTAGAATAGCTTCTCATCCAACCTGTCAAATTTCAGCTGCGCTGGACGATCACATACGCTACTGCCTGGCCATCACAGACTAAAAGCTCCTCAAAGAGTTCAGACTCTGCCCCGGCCTGTCAATCGGGCGCATATAAAGCCAGCTCACCGTGGGTTACTCCCGCTGTGATTAAAGGAAAACTTGTATGAGCTTGGGCCACCATGGCACCCCTCCAGACTGTCTTGATCACCGGCTGCTCCGCCAACGGCATCGGATCGGCCCTGGCCGTCGCGCTCGCCAATCAAGGCCACCACGTCTTCGCCACTGCGCGCTCACCATCCAAGATTCCGTCGTCTCTTACCACTTTGTCCAATGTCACCCCTCTCCAGCTCGATGTCACGTCGTCAGAGTCTGTAGCTGCTGCCGTTAAGGCAGTCGAGCAGCATGGAACAGGCCTAGATATTCTCATTAACAATGCGGGCTCCGGTTACACCATGCCGCTGCTGGACGTCGACCTCACCCAAGCCCAGCAGGTCTACGAGACCAACATCTGGGGTCCGCTGCGTCTTATCCAAGCACTAGCACCATTGCTAATATCCCGCGGTGGACGTGTCGTCAACATAAGCAGCGTGGGTGCAGTAGTCCCCACGCCATGGATCGGTACATCAGTCCTCTTCCTCCCGGTCGGCATGCAGTGTCACATTAACAACGTGATACAGGCATTTACTCATCATCGAAATCCGCCTTGAGCAATCTCTCCGAGACCCTCCGTCTCGAACTAGCGCCACTAGGTGTATCCGTGGCCACGCTCATGATCGGCACCGTCACGACGCCGTTTCATGCAAACGAGCCCCGATTCACCCTCCCACCAAACTCTCGATATGCGGCTATCGCAGAGACCATCTCCCGCTGGGCGTCAGGTGAGGCAAGTCCCAAGGGATGCTCGGCCCAAGAGCTGGCGGATTTGATCCTGCCTGATGTACTGGGTACGACAGGACATGGCATGTTCTGGCGCGGGCCGAATAGTGGCGCGGTGAAATTTGTGTCTCAATGGGTGCCTGGGTGGTTGGCTGTGAGTTTGTCCACACCTACCGAGGGTATTATTGCTAATGTTGGAATAGGATCGCATGATGAGCACTGGTCAGGGATTGGATGAGCTCGCGGCGAGTCAGTCAAAGTAAATGGTGGGCCTGGTTCGCATATCGGTTTGGCTATTTGTAAAAATATAGAAAGTAATTGCAGACCATTGGTACTCGCCATTTGGCCAGCTTCATTCTTCTTTTTAAGGGGCCCCTCGGCCAAGCTGTGACCCACGTAAAGTGCCTAAGGTGTCTCGTATGAATTCCGACCGTCAAGCATCAACTGCCTTGGGAGGATATATAGAGGTAGAGAGTATTCCTTATTGAGCCTCACCAACTGCAAGAAAACATCAGTCATATTTATGAACAATCAGCTGTCATTATAACAAAGCCTTCCAAAAGCAGCGCTGGAGAGTACTGTCCGTAGACTACAAATTCATAGTGGGATGGTGGCAGGCACCGACCATTTCTGCCACCTCGCCATGAGGGCGGTCAAAAATCATACAGAATCCGCAAAGAGTTCTCTGGGACTTGTATGTTCTTAAATCCGCTTAAATCCGTGGTTTTTTCGGCGAGGTCGACTAGGTTCTGCCGCTTGGAGCGGTGTAGTGAGCGGTCAGGGACACGTTTTCTGCCAGTATGTTGATGCGGGCGGTCACAGTTCGTACAGTTTCCAGGGTGAGTTCTCTGGAAACTGTATGTTCTTAAATCCGCTTAAATCCGATGTTTTTCGAGCGAGGTTCGCTAGGTTCTGCCGCTTCAAGCGGTCAACAAAGCGGTAGGTCCCGTGATGGCAGAATGAGCTCTTTTTGCAGCTGCGGTTCCGGCGCATGTTTTTATTAGGCACGTGATGAGTACACGACTGCTTTTTGGCTTACTAGTTGTACTGACAGTTTGCACCAATTGTTACAGATTCTGGAATAATTTCAGTGGGTATGATGATGATCAGTTGTTCAGAATATGTGTTTTAGGACGGTCTACTAGCTAATGAGTTCCCTCAAGCTTGTAAGTTCAGTTCGGATCATCTGGACAACTGCGAATATATATAACAGGTTGGCACAAACAACAACTACTATTAGCCTGAACGAATTGAACACGAAAGTCTATGACAACTAAGGCCACGATTACTATTCCTAATCCAAGGTTCAGCTTCAATGTTTAACTGTATCCCAGAATCAATCTGCAGTGCCTACTACCCCTCCTTCTTCCTTGGGCCATCCGCAGCCAAATCAGACGAATGAGCCAGATGTTGTCGGAATGGCGCGGTCGGTGCTAGTGCTAGTGTTATCGGCACTGCGAATCCAATCGCGGCGGTCTTCGTCGGAACTACATATCCGGAAAAACAAAACACCCTGGAAGATGGAGCAGGGGTATTGACAAGGATATTGTTCAGGGTTACCTAAAGACAACTACCATTGACCTGGAGGTGCATAAGATCTGATGATACTCTGGTATTGATGTCTAAAGCTATTCCCAAGTTCGGTGAGCTGCAGTAGTCGATGACGACGGAGTGCAGCCCGTGTTAAGCCACTGATGCCCCTCCTTCGAGCTCCTGAAGGCAAAAACTAGCTTGTGATCGTCGACTGCCACGTTGCAGAGTACCCCTCATGGGAAATGCTATCTACTCGTACTGACCTTGGAAACTACGCATGCATACTGTGTTTACGATGGATCGCGAAGATATGTTGTGTGTTGTTCATTGTGGTATATTTCTATTTCATGTCATACACACTACCGTACATCATAAACAGATAGGTGTGCCTCGTTCATATTCCAATCGCTTAGAAGTCCTGGGCGGAGGCCTCCTCGAGCTGCTTGCGAGCATGGTACTTGGCCTGCTCACGGTCGACGAAGTCAAGACCCTTGGACTCAATCTCGCGGTCGATAAAGGCACCAGCAAGACCGGCGAGGATCTCCTTGGCCTGGGCGTGGTTGTCGGGCTTGCCTGAGAGGAATTTAGTATCTCGTATCGAATGGGGACAGGCGAGGTGTTGGAACGTACCGTTCTTGGCCTGGTGCTCCTCGTAGGCCTTCATGGCCTCGTAGGCAGCGGCACCACCGATGACCTGGTGGCTGAACTTGGCCTTGTGCTCCTCGGTGACCTCGGTGCCGACCTCAAAGTTCTCAAGCTCCTTGTGGGCCCGACCCTCGTCGCTGTCTCTGTCTGAGAAGTGGAAACACCTCGTGTCAGCTAGAAGGGCACAAAGACAAGACTGAGGTTCATCTCAGGGAATTACTCACCGAACCAACCCATGATTGCTGAAGTGTAGTAGTGAAGTGTGGAGGACTAGGATAAATTGTTTGTGGATGAGGAAAGAGAAGAGTTATCAGGGAAGGGGAGGGAGGGGTTGATATAGGTTGAGATGGCTCTCCCCTGGGACCCTCTCTTCCCCTGATGGAGGGGTAAATGATATCATCGTCATGGCCGACAGAGATCTCGGTCTGGTTGGAGCTGTGAGGGGCTTGTTGGGGGCACCCAAAGAGGCAATGGAGGGGCAGCGCGTGGTATACTGAGGATTCAGTGGGTGGATGATGGTGGGGACACCGACTGGACCGGGTTTCTTGTCAGGCAATGATTGGGCGCAACGCGGAAGCTAAGTCGCAACAAGCTCCAGTGGGATTCCTTCTGAGCCTTGGGTGGCTGCCAGTGTTCTGGTTGCCCGGTGATGGTGGGTTTCGGCAGCCATTCGTGTTGCCAATACGCGAGAATCCCACTCGACTATCATCGCCTACTGAAGTCCACTAGTTGATATAGTGCTGCTATATCGGGTCTGGGCGAGATGACGGGACCTCTGAATGGCCGCTGCCCCACCGCATCAGCCACTTGATTCATTGCATTTACTGTCCTCTGTCAGCGTGAGGCGCTGTTCTCAGACAAAGGAAGCGAGCATCACCCCAATAGTCTCACCCATTAACTCCGTAGCTTCTAGCCGTCTGACACTTATCTTTCCCACTGAACCGAGACTAGCTTTTTACACACGGTCGCTTCACTTACGTGATTGCCCGGTCCATAAGGTGACACTAAACAGTGTGACAGCCTTTTGTGGGAGAAACGAAGATCTGTCTGCCGATTGCTCGAACAGCCGCCTGTATCTGTACGCTGCCACGATGCAGCGAGAGTAGCAGTGGCACAGCCACATCATCTGCAGACGAGCCAAAACCGAAAGGAGCCATCTAGCGCCAGATGGGTGATGACAACCGGATCCACTCAACCGACTCAGGGGTATGCTTTACCCTTTGACTTCGGACCCTCACCGCAAAGGTGCGATGCTATTTCCCTCATGGCCGCAGTGGGGGTCTCGCCCCAATTGCGAGCAATGATGCCATTACTTAGCCCGTTTGGCGTAGCTTCGTAAGTGGGTGGCGCCAGTTTTCCCCTCGATGGTCTGAGATAGACAAGCGGTCGCCTCCGCCAGGATGTCTTATCACATCCGAATTGTAGACTGATATGAAACGGGCGAAGGCAGAGGGGAGGATCGGCAATGAATAGGGCGTTGAGACGTGGGAGAGATCTGCAGCAATAACATGGGCGAATTAAATTGCCGGACGATGGCCGTTTCGGAGCCGCTGAGCCAATCCAATTGACCGAAGCTAGCTAAATATTGGGTACTGAGCACAAAGTTCCGATGGTCTCCATCCCAAATCGCTCGAATGCAGACTCTCTCCAATTCCGCACGTTAGTATCCACCAGACGGAAAAATAATGGGAGCGGTGTACCAATCAGGATACTGTGGCTGGTGAAGTCCGAGACCCGGCAAAAATGCTATAGCCCCAAGCCCCCAAAATCTTACACCGCCACTCTCTCTGCCGTCATCGCATATCCTCTCGTAGGTTGTAAGGCCAGCAGAATCATACGGCGAGGAGTGCGTGAACAGCGATTGCAAGACGGCATTCCAGGTCGGGAATATTTATGACATAGATTTGGAGGGAATTGGACACTGTTGTGTGGGAATCACTCGAAGCGTGGCCATAGTGGCGATTTCCAACCGGATAGCCTCAACTGTTTTGCGATCCCCACAGCCATCCGGGGATCATCGCCAGCTTGTCCTCTTTGATGAGGGGTGAGATGATAGTATGATCATTATGAGTGGGTTAAGTCCATTCTGTCTCATATCGGTGTCAGACTGCGCGGGCAGCGGCCTGGGCCAATACCCGTAAACATCCCGTCCGTCGACGAAGTGCTTGTGGTTAGAATTGCATAGTCCTCGATCTCTTGCTTAAATGCCAGCATCAAGATTGATTAAGGTCCATCGAAGCATCCAGGTTCTCGACATGGAGAGACAACCTAATCAATTCATCAAGTAGGTAGCTACGTACCAGGGATTATTTTTTTGTTGATGGTACCGGATTGCTGGCTGTCATTTATCATGTTATGAGGGACGACAAGCTCAGCTGCGGCATGATGTGGGTACACCTTGTGGATTTCCAGGTGGCCAGATTGATTGAAGGAGATCATCAGGGTGGAGTAGTCGGTCCTGCGACCTCCGGTACAAGCAGAAGATGTGGAAGCTGCGTCAGCTAACAAGCATTCCGCGGCAATGCACTTCGTAAAGATCTGATTTCTGAAGTAGATGAATGTAACCTGGTCGCAGCATGACGGCCATGCAGATCTTGAAAAGGAAGGTGTCCGACCGGCGGGACGGTCGGGACTGCGAGTTAGGATGTCATCTTCCATGAGTCTCTTCTGCATTTGACGATAAGAAACATTTGTAGAAATGAAGAGATCATGTCTGTCTGAACAGAAGCTTCGGTCGACAACCTATCGTTGCTAGACGTCGACAACAGACTCCGTGTCTTTATCAAAACCGACATCGGGAGCTATTCACCAAAGCCGGTCAGCAGATCTTGGTTTATTTTGAGTCCTGTCACCTCACCGTTCCAGAGAAATCCTCAAGAATTAATGATTACCAACTTTCAGGACTGATTGGGAGCTTGACTCTACAAGCATCATGCATGCTATTCCCCAAATTCAAAGGCTGGTCTACTAATGATACTCATGCATGCACACACCACTGAGTACCGCCCGGCGGCAGTATCCGGCGCCACTCCGAATTTGGTTGCTTGCCTGAGGTTCCTATTTGATGCTGCGCCTTAAACAGTGGACTGAAGGACTGACTTTTCTAAATTCCATCGATATTGACGTTCAAAGAAACCATACACTAAGCGGCTGGCCCAAAATTTACGGAGGTTCTTTGGAATGCCATTGACAAGGCAGGTCCCTTCAACTCTACGCGTCTGAGAATTTTTTCAGGCATCCGTTCCGTATGACAATATTCACACTGGGTAATCCGAACCCGAGGACCACTCACGAACACGATTCCAACTTCCATTCGTCTTATAATTTGATGCTACATGATTACTGAGTTGTATTTCCATTGTGGTGCTTGACAGGTGGCTTGGGGTGTGATCAGCCTATGCGCTGGCAGCTCGGAACGAACAATCACAAAGGGCTAGTTGGTATAACTAGCCCGACAGGCGCAAGAATATCGATCCTTAAAAAATATACTGAAAGAAATCGGGCAAATGGAGGAGTGACTGTATTACTCCATTGTTTGTAACTTACTACAAAAGCCTGGAGATATGCAGGGTGTTGTAACAGCGTACGAGTTCAGTTCACCTAGCGAATACGCTGCGAATTGGGCGCTTAGCTGTAGAGTGTGGCATCAGGAACAGGAGTAACGGTAACTATATTTATCTTGGACAGTTGACCAATAATACCTGCAATGGCTTCATCGCTTTATGAATCAATCTCCCTCCAACAAGGATGATGGCTAGTTACCCCGCTACTCAGCCGCGCGCTATCTCGGCGCGTAGTGAGGCTGCGCAGCTCAAGGCTCACCTTTATCCATGGCTTCAAATACATTGAGTCTGGACTTTCCATTCAGACCGGACCGCGAAATACTCGCAAAATCACAGTGAGCACATGTCAACCCGATTCCGGACACGAAAACACCAATATGAAACGCTACTCCAAGAAGATTTTGCGGAAATTTAAGGGTAGAGAAGATGATAAAACATTATCCGCGGTCTCTTCCGTGGCCCTCAATGACTCTCGTGGCGCTCAAAATTCTGGAGAATCCTTAGCCACAACGCAGCAAATAGTGGATGCGAGAAAAACCGACTTGTGGCAGATCGCTTACGAGGACCTAAGTCCAGCCGACAAAGGGGTGCTTGCAGACACTCAGCAAGCTGGACGACCGTCTCTTCACCGTAGCAAGACTTTGGAGGTAGTAGACGACGTTATCGAGGCGACGAAGAAGCAGTATGAAGAGTATCAGAAGGGGGGCTTGAAGATCAGGAAGGGAGCAGATAAAGACGCCATCAACGTTCGTGATATTGCACACAAAATCCTGAACGCTACACTATCGTTCAGAGGAATCGCAAATGTGCTCGTGGGTGGCGATCAGACTGGCACTGCATCCATTGCTTGGGGAATTGTGTTGCTCGGATTGACCGTATGTGCCTTGCCGGAAGCCCACAGATTTCGAATGCTAAATGAATCCATCAATAGATCACGTATAATCATCATCAGATACGCAAGGCTCAATTTCAATCGGCTGAATTTTTGACAGACGTCCTAACACGTTGTGCTTTCATTGAGAAGGAGCACTACCACGATAGCCGATATGAAACGCAGGACAAGGTTGAAGTTGCCATTGTCCAAGTCTACAAAGGTATCCTAAGCTATACAGCGCAAGTATACAGGATGCAACGAGCCAATGTGGGGGAGAGGTTATTGGAGAGTCTTTTGCCAGTGACAAACCACCCACTCAAAGAAATTGAAGCAGCAATAAGAGGCGACGAGGCAAGGCTGCGCCAATGGGTCAGGCACGATGAGCATTTGCAGAGTCGAGCAAAGGCCGAAGAACTGCTTGGCCGGATAGACGAGTTCATCGTACTGCTGAAGAACCTGCACCGGAAATTCGATCTCTATAATCTCCCGGATGCCGAAGGAGCTTCATTTGATTCATATCAAAACCAACACGAGGAGGCATGTCTTCCTGGCACAAGGGAGGAACTCCTTCAACAAGTCAGTGAGTGGGGGAGTTGCTCAGATGGCCCTTGCATCTTCTGGTTAAATGGAATGGCAGGGACTGGAAAGTCAACAATCTCACGTTCATTGGCCCAACGTTTCCGGAACAAGGGGCAGCTTGGAGCGACATACTTCTTCAAAAGGGGTGAGGGTGACCGCGGGCATGCGAAGAGATTTGTTTCCACAATTACGAGACAACTGATTGCCGCGATCCCCGATCTCGCAGTTGGCGTCTCAAAGGCTATCGAGGAAGATCCAGACATATCAAGGCGGGGTTTCAGAATTCAGTTTGAAAAGCTTCTTCTCGAGCCCTTGGGTGAACTGGAGGACAGTCAAAAGCCGAGGAGATTCGTGATTGTGGTCGATGCACTGGATGAATGCGAAGAAGAGCAGGACATAAGCCTTCTCCTGCAGCTATTTCCTCGTATCCAGGAGTCGAAGTCTGTTCAATTGCGGGCTTTCATAACCAGCCGCCCGGAATTACCAGTACAGCTCGGCTTTCAGGAGGACACAGTCAAAGACAGCCACCGGGATCTAGTTCTTCATAAGGTCCCCAAGCAAGTGGTTGAGAATGACATATCCCTCTTTTTGAGACACAAGCTGAGCGTGATTCGGAAATCCCGGTCACTGCCACCGGATTGGCCTGGGGACGGTGACTTCCGAGCATTGGTCGAGATGTCAGTCCCATTGTTCATCTTCGCAGCCACCGTGTGCCGTGTATTTCAAGACCATGACTTGGACCCTGTACAGAGCCTATCTGAGATCCTGGAATTCCAAAATGAAGAGTCTAAGCTGGATGGAACGTATCTCCCGGTACTACAGAGGCTCCAGACCCACAGTGGAAAGCGAAAACAGATGATCGTGGAAGAATTTCGTGAAGTGGTGGGCACAGTTGTCATACTCGAGTCCCCTCTCTCGGTCACTTCGCTTTCAGAAATCCTCGGTATTCCAAAGAGAGTGATCAACATTCGCTTAAGTCGGCTTCATGCGGTGCTGAATATTCCGGATGACGATGCTATGCCAGTGGGCCTATTCCACCTATCATTCCGAGACTTCCTCCTTGATCCGGAGACTCCTGAAAAAACTGATTTCTGGATCAACGGGGCCCAGACGCATCAACGGCTAGCTATGAAGTGCCTTCATGTTATGCAGCGAAAGCTGAAGAAAAACATATGCAATTTGCCATGCGAAGGATTTGAGCGATGTGATATCAACACTCAATCGATTGGCCAGCCTGTCAGCCATTATATTCCACCAGAGTTAGAGTATGCCTGCCGATACTGGACACTGCATCTAGCAAACTGTGAAAGCCCAGAGACTGTCCTACAGAATATTCACGCGTTTCTCCTAGAGCATTTTCTTCATTGGGCAGAAGTAATGTGTGTTCTAGGCTATGCATCTGAGATTGTGGGAGATATACAGATGTTGCGGTCACTAATCAAGGTAGGCTTGAAATTGAAGATTTCCTATAACATTGCTCACAACTATAGGATCAGGAAGACTCTGCGATATCCAGGTTTCTGTACGATGCCTTACGATTCATCTTGAAGTGTCGACGCATAGCTGATATAGCGCCACTTCAGCTATATTGTTCAGGGTTGATATTCGCGCCATCACATTCAATTATCAGACGAACGTTCGAAATGCCTGAATGGATAAGCAGGTTGCCAGAGGTGGAGGAATCGTGGAGCGCTGAGCTGGAAAGCATTGAGGGCCATAAAGATATTGCTGTTCGGGCAGTTGCCTTTTCCCCAGATGGGCGATGGCTGGCATCTGGCTCCCAGGATAGAACTGTTAAGATATGGGATGCGGTCACCAGTACTTTGCAGCAGACTCTCAAGGGCCACACAGACAGCGTTATATCTATATCCATCTCTCCAGACGGGCGACGACTGGCATCTGCGTCCATGGACCGCACTGTAAAGGTTTGGGACCTGATGACGAGCACACATCAGACTTTGAATGGTCATGAAAGCTACATCTACGGGGTAGCTTTCTCACCGGATGGGCGATTGTTGGCATCAGGCTCCTACGATAAGACTGCCAGAATCTGGGATTTAACTACCGGTACTCATCAAACTTTGATGGGCCATGATGACTATGTCTACTCAGTATCTTTTTCGGCTGATGGACGTCGTCTGGCATCCGGTGCCAAAGACAAGACGGTTAAAATATGGGATGTAGCGACTGGAGCGCTACAGGATACAATCCAAACCGATTTGCATATAGAATCGGCTGTCTTACTACCAGATGGACGACTGGCAGTTGGGGATAGGCTGATCAAGATTTGGGACCTAGCAACCGGCACCATGCAGCAGACACTCGGAACCAAAAACTTCTCCGCTCCAAAAGTGGCATCTTCGCAAGATGGACGATTACTGGCGTGTACTAGTGGAAGTAATATCATTGTTTGGAACATGTCCACCCAAACTCTGCACCAGATCTGTGAGGGCCATCGCAATCAAGTTTGGGCTGTGGCTATCTCACCCGATGGGCGACGTTTAGCCTCAGGAAGCCAGGATGCGACCATAAAAATCTGGGACCTAGACGCCCCGTTTTATGAACCACCGTTTCGTGAACGGGAGCGTACGGCTGAAAGCCATGGCCTGATAACTTCTATGGTATTCTCGCCAGATGGAAAATGGCTGGTATCTGGCGGGGGTGACGACACCGAATCAGTCAAGATCTGGGATTTGGAGACCAAGTTATGGGGATCGGCAAACGATGCGCTGCACCAGACGCTGAAGGGCCACCGACATTTCATCCATTGGCTATCTTTCTCGCCGGATATGCGACAGTTGGCTTCTTCCTCTGCCGATCGCACCATCAAGATTTGGGATACGGCCACAGGGTCTTTGCAGCATACCCTGGAGGGACATGAATGGGGAGTTAACATCGCTGTATTCTCACCAGATGGTCGACGGCTGGCATCTGGTGCTGACGATAAAACCTTTAGGCTGTGGGACCCGGCAACAGGGACCTTACAGCATATACTCAAGCACCCTACGTGGCTTTGTAGGTCGGTGGCTTTTTCTGCAGACGGGCGCTGGCTAGCCACTGGCTTGGACCGCATAATCAGGATTTGGGACCCTGATACTGGCACCTTGCAACATACTATCGACACGCAAAAACACATCCACAACCTTGCATTCTCTAGCGATGGAAATTCTATAGAGACTAACCACGGGGTGTACGATCTACCACCTTTGTTCCACAGTGCTCCTCTCGATCCCGCCCCCGAATTAGATTTGCGCGTGGAAAATCGCGAATGGGTGACTCTACATGGCAAGAGAATACTTTGGCTACCCACTGACTATCGTGTAAGGCGCATGATTATAAGAGATGGAGTACTTGCTATAGGACATGGGATGATGGGTGCGAAGCGAAGATCCATCACCCTCTTTAAATTCCGTCAGTGAGTTGTGGCCAAGTGGTGTGTTTGTTTGTATTTGCTTTCTGGGTACCGCGCCTGAAATGGGCATACATAGCAGTTTCGTTAGCTAAGGACGTAAAATGTATACTTGTGGGTGTTGATTTCACTAGCCTTACAATCGCGTGGCCGCCAGGTCGTGACATTGTGCTTATTAGAAAACCCCTTGCGTGGTGGTTCGTACTCACCACCAGCAATCTAATTCAATCTATTTTGATATGAAACTACCACCAATCATGGGTTCTGTGCGGCCACGAGGGTGTCGGCCGAATCCCCACCAGAGTGGAATGTGCCAATTAGGGCGCACGGGGATGAGGGTGGCTCTATCCGCCAGACTCCGGCGGGAAACCGGCCGGCCGCCCTAAAATGTCTATTATAAACATCTTGGTCCACCGCGACCAAACCTGCCTCTCAAAACTCACAATGGCTTGGTAAGTGCGGAGCGATGTGTAAGCGCGACCGCTTCATTGGATGGCCTAAGATCTCACCCATCGAAGTGGTCCACAAAGAGTCCTCCCCGTCGGAGACACGCGACGATGGCATGATTTGAGGCAGATACAATAGCATGCTTTTCATTGTGCACCGAGAAAAAATTGTCGGATCCTCAGCGGTTGCAGTCACAGAAGATCGACAAAGAAGACCAATTGCAGAAGTTGATCTCTTAATCAGACAGGTTCGTCGCACCGCGGGGCTGGTATGGTGTTGGGGCTGACAGCCTCGGATGGAGACAGCGAGCTGAGGCCAAGACGATCCATCGATCCAGTGGTTCCCACGAGGACCCAATGCAGTGTAACCATGCACAACAATGGCCCCTCTGTTCTGGTCAATGCATTCCAGACCCCTCCCATCTGTCTTTTGCCTCCTGCTCATGGAACGGCCACCAACACCGGGCGCAAGTCTAAACCAACGCGATAACGAACGGCTGCAACCTGGCCGTTTTTGTAACCGGTCTAGATAGACCATGTGCGCTATCCTCAACACTAAAACAGACTTTATGCCGGCTGACACCCCCACTGCTAGGCAAAATTTAGTGCAATCCAATTGTCTCAGTGGCTTCAGAAAAACCGAGGCCATCATTATAGGCCACGTCTCCTGAGAAGCGGAGACTGACAAGAGTCTAGCCTGGGGCAGAGGATATATAGCCTGGCTACTTACCCCCGTCGGCTTTTCACTCAACATCCCTACACATACATACCCAGCATACCACTACACACACCACAATGGGCGACGCCGCAGGACTCCCCGACTACGTTCTGGAACCCAATGCGGTCCTCAACGACACGGACGCCGCCTGGCGTCACGGAGGCCCCCCGGACTACAGCAAGACCCGGGCCTACTACGAAGAGAGTACGCCTCCTACCGCATCCACGCAACCACCCCAGATCAGTGCTAACAATGAATACCAACAGCCAAGAAAATGACCCACGAAGCCGGCAGCCTTCCCTTCCTCGTCGAGAACCTGGTCAAGAACTGGGAAATCGAAGCCTCCTTCAAGACCAACCTCGCGGACTGGCGCACCATTGACCATGAGACATACCACTTCACATTGAACGGCGGGCCCCCGTTGAGCGGCGAGCACATGCTGAAAGTCGGCACGTATAATGCGCTCCTCACGCCGAGTGCGTACTACGATCCTGCCAATAATGATTTCGAAGCGAGCCACAAGTCGTTTAAGCGCATGATGCCTACGTTTGCGTGGGAGGTGCTGGAGGTATATAGTGGGCCGCCGGTGGTGGTGACTAAGTGGAGGCACTGGGGTGTGATGGCGAGGGATTATGTTGGATTTAACGAGTATGTTCAATACCTCTCCCTTTATTGATCTTGGTGTGGATGTGGGCTAATAATGGTATAGTAAGGGAGAAAAGGTCAAGATCGCCGCGCACGGCGGACCCATTGATATCCAAGGTATCGTGATCGCTAAGGTTAATGATGCGCTGAAGCTGCAGCGCATTGATGTGTGGTTCGATCCGCTGGAGATGTTCCGCCAGATTGCCAAGGATCACGAGCAGACCAAGGTGGAGGGCGAGGAGAAGACTGCGTCGGGGTGTCCGTTTGCGGGGGCAAAGGAGTAGATGGGATGTATGATGTAAACCTGAGGATATGTTAAGGATACGAATTTCTTTACAAGTTGATTCTGGTCATCAGTCTGATAATACGTAATACTTTGTAGGGTAGTCTCTTTTATTAAACTTGGATACTGGCTGGCTTGTTGCCACCCTCGGTGGGTTCACTGGTTATCTATTATGGGCAGTGCTTGTTACGCATAATCGGAGACTGTATGATGCCAGACTTAGGCAATCATTCCTTCAATCGCTTATTGTATACTCGTTCATAACATTATACATTGAGAACATTCCATCCCATACTCAAGTGTTTCATCGGATCACATGAAGTACGCTCCCTACCGTCTCCACACTACACATACCACACACGTATGTCCTGCGCACGGCGGCCATCCACCTACAACGTCGCCGGGTTGACCTTGCAATAATCCAAATTATGAATATCGGTATTGGGATTCCCCGCCCAAGTCCTATCTCATCATTAGCATCCCATACTGTCTCAAAGCCCAGGAGAAAAAGATAACTCACGGGAACGCATGCTCAGTCCCACTCCCTCCAAACACCGCAAACGTAAGAATGAACACACAAATCTGCGTGCCGCCGTCCAACGCGGCCGAGACAATATAATTATACTTGTTGAACAGCTGCGGATGATACCGTCTCAACCAGAACTGCGCCGCAAATCCCAATAGGAAGTATGACATGATCGAGGCGTTAATACCCACGAACAACCAGCCCATGTACCAGAGGATAATGGAGGTGTTGAGATACGAGAAGATCGGGTGCGGGTAGAATCGGTTGGCGAGCCAGAAGGGCACCGGCACGATGAAACCAACGAGGTATGCTATGGTTACCCATTCGTAGCGGCCGCCGATGGAGAACATGTCGTTGGCGATACTCCAGGCTATGGCGAGACTGTTGAATTGGTTTGGGGGTGTTAGTTTTGGTGTTGTGGAGAGAATGAGAGGAAGGGGGGACTTATTTGGACGTTGGCGCCACTCCAAATGTTGGTGCCGTCGATGGAGATGAGGACGTCGGCTTGATTTCGGACGATGCTTGATTTATAGTCAGTGGGAATATTTCTGATATGGGGAGGGTAGTGGAGCATACATTAGCATCATTACGTAGTTGAAGAGAGCTCCGATGATGCAGCCCATGACTTGCACGAAGAAGGTGCATTTCGGCGATAGATGCACTTGCTGCGCCAGTCGTAGGTCCTTGGCCAATACCTGTCCCTGTTGTAGCGAGTTGTAGGTGAAGCAGGTGAAGTAGAGGTCTATTGCGTTAGCTGGGTCAGAAAGTCGATAGAGATCTCACGTACTGGCCAATGGCTTCCCCGGGAACATATAGCCTGCCAACATCTGACAGATGGGCTGAACGTTAAACTGAAACCCAGTCAACCCGTACTGGGCACCAAAGAAGAGCATAAACACCAGCGTGAGGATGTTGCCGACGATGAATCCCCACCAGGGTAGCGTAGACTTCATCGCATACAAACAGCCCAATCCGACAGCAAAACTAGCAATCAGTACAGCGCCCCACCACCATAGCGGAGTATCCTGATAGAGGTTGCGCAGCATGAGACGGTAGTGCGGATCAAGAGTGTCGTCGTTGACGCGTCGCGCGAGACGTTCCTCAGGGGTCTCCTGATTAGCCCAGAACTTGTAGGTCTCGGGCTTCAGCCATTTCTTGAGCTTGCTAGGGGCAGCCCACGCCCAACCGACCTTGATATTGTCAAAATCCCACAACAGCATATGAGTCAGTGTGGCAGTCACTCCCATGTTGGAGGTAATGAGGTAGACCACATATGTTCCGGTCAGCCAGGGCAGACCCTGCTCCTTGAGGGCCGCAGGATCGACAATGTATTCGGAGTTGAGAATCAGGGTTTGATTGTACTCGTGGTAGTACGTGGAGTTGGAGTCGCCGTAGTAGAGCAGTTGAGAGAGGAATGGAAAGTCCTGGGACCGCCAGATATTGGCGTAGTAGATGGCCATGAAAAGGATGATGCAGCCCAAGTACCCGATGAAATTGTTAGTCATAGCGTACAGTGGATACCACAGCGGTGATCCCAACGAGGCAATGTAGTTCCAATCAAAAGAGAGGGAGAGGAACCCGAGTCCCTCGTTTCCGGAGGCACCGCCAAACAGATTTGTGAAGACCAAGCTGTGCTGATCGGCCAAGCAGAAGATCGAGAAACCTTCAAGGAGCGGAAATATGTACTCGGGGATTATAGTCCAGAAGAAGAGGATGAAGAAGAAGATGTAGAAGATCTTCATCCGCGCCTTGAACTGTGCCTTATCCTTGTGCAATGACTCAAGCAGACTGCTGATCGGCAAGGTCATGGGCCAGATCATCTTGGTTGGCCGCACGATGACATCCCGTAGTAGTCCGGCAATGCCGAAGCCGATCAGCTGAGAGGACAGCACGATGAACACAGCAGCAGCATGGTTGGGGTAGCCACCGTAGAAGAGCTGTTGGGCTGACAGGGCCTCGGTGGCCAGCGCGGACTGTGTAGCGGCGGAGGACATGAGGGAGATGGCCGCATGTTCTTTGGCGTTGAAGGGACCCGGATTCAGCAACTTTCCGATGACGCCGCGACGGGGGATGGCATATGCCATGAATTCTCCCAGGATGTAGGCAATCACTGTGAGGAAGACCTGCGAGACGTAGATGGTTTGTGGCTTGAAGTAGAAGATCTCCTGGAGCACACCGCCGAAGATGGATAGACCGGCTCCTACTGGAGTTTAGTAGGGAGACCATGTTGTAGTTGGAGAGGTAGTCATACCCAGGAAGACCATGCGAAAGCTCCATGGGTTCAGGGATGGATCATCCTCGACCTTGATGATATGGGTGACGAGATCTTGCGCCGTGCTGACCACCTGGTCGCTATCATAGTCGTCGTCCTCACCAATGCGCACCGTCTGACCCTTTTCGAGCACCTGAGGCTCTATCGCAGGAGAATCCTGGCTCGACCTCTTCTCATCGTAGCTAGGCACCTCTTGTCCCAGGGACACATCGGCCGACTTGCTCTCCATGATATTGCTGAACGAGGTCTGACTGGACGCTTTTTCCTCCGAGGAAGCAAGGAGGGACCGCCTGCATTAAATACGAGGCCAGCCTCCTAGAGGAGCATTACTGGCAGCAGTAGCACATGGTGGTTGCCACATGGGACTCTCACGATAAGAGCTGCAGAGCGGAGTGGCTCTCCCCCTCACAGGGACCAAGCACTCAACCCTGCATGCTAAGCATTTTTAGCCTAGGACCCGATAAGCCAGGACCTGAACAGGCTGAAATAGTGTGTAAAACTGATTGCATTTGACTGTCTGCAGATGCAATCCAAGCGAGCTCATTGGACTGGATAAGAGCATGATAGTTCGGTTGGCATCGCTTCACGCCCGGTTGGAGAATGAACCACTGGAAGGGTGGCATCTCCAGAACCCTGGCCCACCATTATACGAGACTTATCTGTCATTTGTGGAATTGATTTCTGTGAGACATGCAGATGCCGATAAGGCTCTCGTCTAGCCTTTGCACGGTCGGGGCTTTCGCTGAGAGATATTGTGTCTGTACCGATGCGAGCCGATGGATCACCATGGGGAGGTGGCATTGGCTGTACGAGAGATAAAAAAATGAGCTCAACGCCTCGATTAATATATCTACACACCATAAGCAATGAAAGGAGCCTCATACACACACTGCCTATCCTCTTTCCCACCTTGACACTGCTCTCCCCTCCTGCTGCTCTCTCTCTGCTCTCTTTCTGCGCTCTCTGTGTCGGCACTAACCCCGAATGGGGCGGGTATCGGCAGTCCGACGGATCTCCGGGGGCCGCACGTCCAGCGCCGATCGTTACTCAACCGAGCAGAGGAGAGAGAGCAGTGAGCAGTGGTGTCACCGACCATAAAAATGCTTGCTTCTGCCCATCCAGCCATCAGTTGTCCAGTCTGCTCCATTGTGTGCCAGTCTCGCCCCCAAGGCCGCGCATCTGAAACCAACCGGTTGGGTGAAATCAGCCGGCGGGTGGCACCCGAGCGGCCACTGGCTGGGATCATCGCCCGCAACGCGTCAACAGCAATCAAACGAAGGATGCGAAATTATTCAGCGGGCGGTTCCTTTCCAATTTTTCCCCGTTCCTGTCAGCATGTCTACTCTATCATACTGTAACATTATTATATTGTGATTATTTTTATTCTGGGTGATGTGTCCACTGGACCGCACGTGGAATGAAGATTTTCCTTCCCTCGGGACGAGAAACCATGGCGCAGTTGGTGTGGTGTGCGTGTGTGTGCGTGTCGGCTGTCCGAAAATCGCCCTAAACTCCGAGGCACGCACCATTTGCCATTAATTCCCTTGCGATTGATTTCTGCCTGTCCCTGCGACCCTTTGTGACCCTTTGTGACCCTTTGACCCTGGATTCAGGGGCTTGGTGGACTCATAGCGATGGGGATAGGGACTTTTGACCCTTTTGACCCTTTGACCCTCCCATTTTCCCTGGCCTAAGTACGCTGTAGTCGTAATTATAGAAAGAATCTTGCGTGGACTGGGGCAAAAGGGGAACAGAACTTATCCATGTCCGAGCAGCGATCGGCCAGTCACCAAGCCGGCTGGATCCGAGACCCGCTGCGTGGGAACTCCCAAGAGTCGTTAAGCAAAGCCAAGAGATCAGCCAAGATGTCGCTCACGAGCCTAATTGCTGGATTGCCATATCGCTTGTCGTTGTACCATCGCGTAAGATTTTATCATTGTTTCTGGGGGCTGTCAGCTAGTCTAAAACGTACTCCTCAAACCAGAGAGGCTGATGATGCTGATGATGGGCCTCCACCCCCCAAATTGGTAGCGCCGTTCCATGAGAGGCCCAGTCTCTCTCTGCCCGTCCTCGACCATTGTTTGGCCCAGCACTGACACAACCTTCAGGGGGGGCCAATGGACGTATTCCGTAGGCAGCAGGCAAATGCGGCCCTAAGAACTCCCCAACTAATAAGAGTCCAGACTAGCAAAGGTTCGCCTCGCCGGTCTCCATCTCTTCCTTCTTAGTCCTCCCATTTCCTCCCTCCCACTTGGTCTCTCGCTCCAGATTTCCTTTCTTCTTTCATCCATCCATCTTGTATCCTTTTGCTTAGCCTTTTTGTTTGGTTTTCTTCCTCTCGTTAACCACCACATTCGCTCTATCTTAATACAAGCCACCCACACTCGTTCTATAGCATCTGTCTTCTTTCGTTCACCTCCTCACTATGAAGCTCGCCGCCTCTGCTGTAGCGGCGGCTGCCCTCGTCGACGTGGCTGTCGCCTCTGTCCCAGCCATCGTCATTAAGGTAGCTAACCATCGCCATCACATCGATTCCTCCCACTGACCCTTTCTAGGGATCCAAATTCTTCTACGAGAACAACGGCACGGAATTGTAAGTCATCCTCTCTTATCAGTTTAGATCAGCACTTGCTAATGTGCCTCAGCTTCATCCGTGGTGTGGCCTACCAGCGTAAGCAACAATCTAACATGCCCGCTGGCCCTGTCTCCCCAAACTAATAATCCATCCAGCCCCCTATGATGGCACTGGCACGACGACCTCCGCTGGCACGGTCGATTTCGTCGATCCCCTTGCCAACGAGACCATCTGCAAGCGGGATCTGCCCTACCTGCAGGAGCTCAACACCAACGTGGTCCGTGTTTACGATGTTGACCCGGACGCGGACCACAGCACCTGCATGAACCTGCTGGCCGACGCCGGCATCTACGTGCTGGCGGACCTGTCCTCAGCGGACTACTCCATCGACAGCAGCGACCCGGAGTGGAACCTGGAGTTGTACGACTACTACGCCAGTGTGGTCGACTCGCTGGCCAACTACACCAACACTCTGGGTTTCTTCGCGGGTAACGAGAACTCCAACAGTGTCAACACCACCGGTGCCAGTGCCTACGTCAAGGCCGCCGTGCGTGACATGAAGGCCTACATAAAGTCCAAGAACTACCGCAGCATCGGTGTCGGTTACTCCGCCGCTGATGTCTCGGAGATCCGTACCGACCTCGTTGACTACTTCAACTGCGGTGACTCGGACGATTCCGTCGACTTCTTCGGTGACAACGTCTACGAGTGGTGCGGTGACTCCAGCTACACTGAGTCCGGTTACAATGTCATGACCGAGGATCTGAGCAACCTGTCCATCCCTTACTTCTTCTCCGAGTACGGTTGTATCACCGTCCAGCCCCGTTCCTTCAGCAACGTCCCCGTCATGTACGGTCCTAAGATGGATGGCTGGCTCGCCGGTGGTATTGTCTACGAGTACTTCCAGGATGCCAACGACTACGGTATGCCTCCCCCCTACCCCCTTTCATTAACAACAACCCATGTGACAGTTTAACTAACACCGCCCAGGTCTGGTCACCATCTCCGACGGCTCCGTCAGCACCCTGACCGGCTTCTCCTCCTACTCCGAGGAGATCAACAGCGTCAGCCCCACCGGAACCAACAGCGCCAGCTACACCCCCACCAACACCGTCGCGCGGTCCTGCCCGACCGTCGGCTCCAGCTGGGAAGCCGCCAGCGCCTTGCCCCCGGCCCCCAACTCGGAACTCTGCTCCTGCATGGAAGAGACCCTCACCTGCGTCGTGAAGGACAGCGTCTCCTCCAAAAAGTACGCCGACCTGTACAGCACCGTCTGCGGATACGGCGTGTGCGCGGGTATCACCGGCAACACCACCACGGGAGAGTACGGTGCGTACAGCATGTGCAACACCAAGCAGATGCTCAACTGGGCCCTGAACGCCTACTACGAGGAGCAGAAGTCGGCGGGCAACGGTGCCTCGGCCTGTGACTTTGCTGGCTCGGCTACCACCACTTCGACGACTTCTCCTACCGGTACTTGCTCTTCTCTGCTCAAGGCTGTTGGCACCGCTGGTACGGGTACTGTCTCGTTGTCTGCGGCTGCTGGCACCAGCACTGGCGACTCCAGCAGCAGCGGTAGCTCCGAGAGTAGCTCCGCTGGTGTGCCTGGGTACATGACCTACACTGCTACCCTGGGTCTGGGTCAGTTGGTTGCGTTTGTTGCTGTCGGTGTGTTGTCCGGTACTGGAATGATTCTTTTGTAGATTGTGTCTATAGGTTTTGGTTTGGGGGATTGTGTAATGGGGAAGATGGGGATGTAGGAAGGTGTGATAGATGTATTAGTGTCGGTCAATCTTACTATTTTTGTGATAAACTGTTTCATATGGTGATTTGTTGTTTCTTTTGCTGGGTTAAATTTAGATTGATTCTGTCTGAGACGCATGTTAGTTAGGGGTTACTTTCATGAATCATCACCCCAGAGAATAGTAATAATAGCGGAGATTAGCCGATCACCTCACCGGGGCAAGATGGAAAAAGAAATAATCAAGAAGGGGGGGTGAAAGGGAACCCACTTCAATAGTGCCTCACTAGTCGCTAGTCAACCCGTGACATTACTCGCTAGTTTGCGGGAGAAAAGCGGAGTTCTCATCCCATCCAATGTGAGACTGCAATACGTTAGAGAGGTACACTATTGGAGCCAGAAAGCTTGTATTGCCATGAGAATCTGGTTAGGCAGCTACTACATCATGATATCGCATAGCCGGGGGTCAATGTCAGACTGATCGGGTGATTGTCGGATGACTGTTTAGAGCTCGATGTCACCCCATGGGCAGATGTAATATTTAGGACACAAAGAAAATAGTACGAATAGGCTGGATGGCAGGCTCAATATAAATTCCAATCTCTTTATGATAGTCATCTGGCAATGATCAGTTTTGTCATGGTGTGGGTTGTGCAAAATATATTTTAAATGCGACATGCCCTGCTTGAAGGATCCAGCATGACGAGGGATATTATCTTGCATCGCTACTGCATACTACACAGGATAGCTGAGACATCTCATACTCGTTGTAAGACCACACACTCGACGTGGTACGGAGAATGGATGCTACCAGTCAGACCTGACAGGTCATTACCCGGATCCAAGTGAGACACCTGGCTGAAGAAATTCCAGATCCACCACCAAAATGGGAGCCCGGCTCGGAGTATCTGATTGGCAGAAGCAATGCTTTATTTAGCACATCATCACGTGCATGACTAGAGGAAAACCTCGCTCCGACGTCATTGTCTATGCCTTGCAGATCGCAAGGATACTTTCTTTCATGCCGGATGCGGGCTATTCTATGCTAGTAAGTCGTTCGAAGGCGGGATCATCCTTGCACTAATATCTGGTGGTGTCGAAAACACCTTATCAAACGGCCACATCGGACGACTAATGCGATGGTGTCCCAGACGCTCCAAATCCTGGTCCACTCCCCCCGGTGTCAGCGCCAGCAACCAATCGGCCGCCATGTCGAAGAGCTCTGGTTCCAGATAGCCTATCTTGACGATGACAAGATCAGCAGACCGCGGGTTGAGGTTCAAGTCTGTAAAGTCGTGCTCATGATGATACGGCTTGCGAAGTTGCGTTAGGATCGCAAAGACCGAGCCCACTTGTAAAACTGCCTCTACCACTGCATCTTTATCACCGTGCTTAATTGCATGAACTCGCCCAGTCATGGTGAGAGGGCCCGCGTGGGCGTAATCCACCTCAGCCCCTGCCGTGACAGTGACTGTTGCGCCAACCCCCGCCTTGACTATGGTCTGTATTGCTTGTGGTCCGGGCAGACTGGCGTAGATGACCGTAGGACCTGACTCCTTTTTAAACTCAGGTCGCGCGAACAGCTGTGTAAGCCCCCAGGTGACGTCCCCAGATCCCCCAGCGGTAGGGTTATCGCCCGAGTCTGAGATGAAAGACGGTCGTTTCGGTGATTTCAATGCGGCATCGATACACTCTCCATATGAGCCTGTCGGACCAACAAAATGAAACTCTGCATGGACTTCCCAAAACTTCCTTGCTAGACGCTCCGCCCCTGCGGCGACGGCTTCCTCGCACGTCCCGGTCACCATCACCACCGCGCAATTGCGCGGTTCATCAGCCCAGGCATACCCAACCCAAATCGCTGCATCGATGATGCCCGGCAACGACTCAAGCTTGGGTACCAGCTCGTAGAGGCTTTTAGCCGGCTCCACCCTCGTGGATGTCTGCTCGCCAGGTAACAAGATAGGAAGAGGTATCCACGCTTTCAATGGCCGATAAAATAGCCCCTCCTCCTTTTGACGCGCGAGTAGATCGACCAAATTCCGACACGCACGCTCCTTTGTCTCCGTCTCATCCTCATGCGGTGCCATTCGATAACAAGTAATCAGATCAGTCTGATGCGCCAGATCACGCGAGACATTGCCATGAAGATCCATTGACGCCGACACAATAACATCTGGTCCGATTACCCGCCGGATCCGGCGCAGCAGCTCATACTCTGCATCGTCGAGACCTTCCACACACATAGCACCATGTATATCAAACCATAATCCGTCCAGCTGTGTTGACGCGACAATGTCGGTTAATCGGGTTATGATCTCGTCAGCCAACTCTTCGAATGATTTCCGGACCACAATGCCTCCGGGTAGTGCGTGTCCGATCAGTGCCCCCCGCCAGTCTGCTGCATCGCCCAGTTTTGTGCCGGGCTGGAGAAAGGGATATTCGTCGATGATTTCATGGGCGCGGCGGGGGTGAAATGCGGGGGCGAGTGTGCGGGCGCGGGTGAACATGGAGGTTTCGCAGGCCAGGCCGGCGATGGCGATGACGGGGCGAGGGGACATGGTGAGTGATATTGATATCCACGTCTCTGGAGCATTTGCTCGTAAGAGAGAAAGAGTGTGGGAGTTGGAATGGGGTCAATGAGCTGGTGTTGCGGCAGGGATGGAATGCGGGGATGGCCGATCGCTCTTATCACGGGCTTCCCCGCTTATCTGGAGGCTCGACTTTGGAATGACAAGACACGAAGAAATTGAGTTCTCCAATTTTTCTATTACAAGACAAATATCCTTAACAGTATCCAGACCACCTTCCTCAGTATCTTGAAATACCCTACAAGCTATCTCTAACCAAATATCTCATCCAACCTCATACTTCCCCTTGACTAGCGTTTTGGGATATACCACCTGCTGGGTGCAGAGGCCTCGCTTCCGCTGTACTCTTTATACGTACCCCGCCCCCTCCACTTTTGATAATACTAGTTCTGCATTCTGCAGCATGTAAGCTCCAATGGGACGTATCCCAGGAGTCGGTTGAGTTGACTCCCCGGCCGATTGATTATCTGGCCGGGGAGAGCATTCGTTAGGGCTGCTCTGGTGTGTTGCCCGCTGAAGTCAACGTTGAATTCTTGCTGCATCTGCGGCGGAAGAAGACTCGCTTGGCCCACTTCCACGATTCAACACCCATAAAGAAAAGAACAGCCTCGACACCCACAATACCCCACTCCCATGTGATGGGCTTGTGCTTGAACACAACATCGTTCAGACGAGGGATGTAAAGGATTGGGAACATGGTGACCCACCCAGCCATGATGGACCAGAAGAGGAACTTGTTCCGCCAAACATCGTACATCCACTGGGTAAAGTACTTCTTGGATTCCGGCTGCATGCGGAAGAATGACCGTCGCATATCGATCATCTCCCATGCCAGGAAGAGCGCAAACCAAGTCAGGCAGACAAACGTTGTAGCACGGGCTTTAAAGACCAGTTCGCAATCTTGGATCTGATCCGACCACTCCTGGTTGCACCCACGGGCTAAGTTGCCGTCACCGAAGCCCCACATTCGGACAGAAAATGCTGCCAGACAGAGCGCTGCAGTCCATAAACCATAAACCATAATGTCGATGATCACCTCCCACGTGAATATGCCTTGCTTGCTCTGGGGAGGGCGGTCCATGATATCAGGGGCGGCTACCTCCATTCCAAGGCCCATATCGGGCATACCTGAAGTGATCATAATGATCCACAGAATCTCAACCGGGGCCAAAGGGAAGACAGATTGATTGTCGGCGTCCTTGAATGCCAGTCCGATGAGAAGGGTACAGGCCTGAGCGATGTTTTCAGCCAGCAAATGCAACACGAATTTCTGAATGTTGTCAAAGATCCGGCGGCCTTCTTCAACGGCGTTAAGAATGGAGGCAAAGTTGTCATCTGTAAGAATGATGTCCGACGCGTCTTTAGCCACGTCCGATCCCGCCTGTCCCATGGCGATACCCACGTCGGCATGTTTGAGGGATGGCGAATCATTCACACCATCTCCAGTCATGGCTGCGAAGCGATTGCGACGATGAAGGGCGCTGATCATGCGGACTTTAGTCTGTGGCGCGCAGCGAGCGATGACCAAAGGAAGTGTCGGCAACGCATCAATCTCTTCATCTGAAAGTTTGTCGAACTGGCCTGCTGTCATGACCATCGCATCTGCGACGTCGGCAGCCACAGTGCTGAAATCAGAAGGGAGAATTCCCACCTGCTGGGCAATCGCCCGCGCAGTGCCCGGATGATCTCCAGTAACCATGTGGACGACGATACCTGCCCGATAGCAGGCTTGGATTGAGCCCGCCGTCTCGGGTCGCGGCGGGTCGTATAACCCGATCAGACCTAGGAAACACAAGTCCTTTTCGATACTCTCGCGTTCCAGCTCGGAGCCTTCAAGTACTCGTGTCTGTTCGGTGTACGGACGATGGGCTAGTGCGAGTACTCGTAGTCCTAGCTTGGCCAGCTCTTCCATATTCTGGAAGATCAAGTCGCGGTGCTCTTCAGTCAGAGCCACGGGTGTAGAGGATCCTTGATCCCAAATGACTGACGTGCATGAATCGACCACCCTCTCGACAGCTCCTTTGGTGAAGATCATAGTGGAGTTGTCTTGGTCGTCCTTCGATTCTATCTTGCTAAAGATCACAGACATCTTCTTCACTGTAGAATCAAACGGAAATTCGGCCTTCTGATGCCACAGCGCGCCTTGTCCTTTGGTCCAACGGTCACGGTTCCAATTGAACCTGGATGCAAACACCTGAATCGCGATCTCTGTAGGCTCACCTCGCGCGTTCCATTCGCCATTCTCGGATTCAAAGATGTGGGACAGGTTGGCCATCGAGGCGACATTGAGGAAGTCCTGCAGTTGCTGGTTGTCTGAGAGTAGATCCTGAACATTTGCTGCCGGAGAATCTTCATCCCCGTCACCAGATTGCAGAGGAGAAAGAGGGGCAAAGCCCACATCCCCAATGGTAGGGTTGAATGGCTCGTTGGATGTGCCAACAGAATATGTTCCACGAGATGGGATCCATGCCTTCTTGACAACCATCTTGCCCTGTGTCAACGTCCCAGTCTTGTCCGAGCAGATATCAGTAACGGCACCAAGCGCCTCCAGCGAGTCGAGTTTACGAACAATGACATTCCGCTCCACCATACGCTTGGTACCGACTGCCATGGTGATGGTAAGTACAACTACCAAGCAGGCAGGAATCATACTTATACCGGTCGCGACTGCGTACATGATGACTTCATTATTGCTGCTGAAATAGTTTGCAGCCATGCAAACTATAGCAAACACAACCGCGACTCCAAATAGCAAGCAAGCTAGCTTAGACAACTTCCTTTGCAAGGGCGTCCCGATATTGACGCCAAGAAAGCGACCGACGGCATCTGTTCCCGTGAGGGTCCAGGCCTGGACATACCATCGCTTTTTGGTTTCTCCGTCCGGGCCACGCTTGACGGGACGGCGTCTAGTGTTGCTATTGCGCAAGGCGAGGGCGATGGACCCGATTTCGGTGGACATGCCCGTGCCGACGACCACACCACGAGCACGGCCGCGGGTAACGGTGCTCGAGCTATACGCGATGTTAAGGCGGTCTCCTGGGCCCGTGTCTTCCTTGAAAGTTGTATCGCATTCCTTCTGGACAGGGAGTGATTCGCCAGTTAGGAGAGCCTCGTCGGTCTCGAAATTCACTGCTTCAACCAAGCTTTTTAATACACCAGTTAGTAGGGTCCCAGCCTGGATTATTGGAATAAGGGAGAAAAACTCACCGAATATCAGCAGGAACAGTATCTCCGGTCCTCAATTCAACCATGTCACCGGGAACAATATCCTGCGATGGTATGGAGAAGGTCTGCCCCCCTCGTGAAACAGTGCCGGTCGGCGACGAGAGTGAATGGAGAGAATCCATGGTCTTTTCCGCGGCATACTCTTGGAAGAACCCGACGACGATATTGAGGACAATGACCGCACAGATCACCCCACCCTCGATCCACGACTGAATCCCGAAACTGACCGCCATGGCCAGAATCAACACCTGCAGCAAAGAATTGGATCAGACATCGGAATCTTGGACGCATTTCATGCCACCAAATGGAGAGTGGGCCGCTTAACTAGCATCATTGCATTCGCCACCTGACGAAGGAGAATCTTTGCGATGGAAACACTTTCGCCCTCATCCAGCTTATTGGGACCGTATTGGTCCAGGCGACGGCGAGCGTCTTCCGGAGACAAGCCATCGTCCAGTGCTGTACCCAGTTCTTTAATGACCGTCTCGTATGTCAGAGCGTGGGCTGGTCCACTTAATCCGGGGCCCCGGTCGGAGGTGGAATGCTGTTTCTCGCTTGACATTAGAGATAGCAGGGAAGCGGTACTCAACAGGTTACGAGAATGTAGTGTGTATAGCAAAGCTCAGCGGGATATCTTTCCGCGTGGGGGAGTAGGCTATTTAAGAGATTGGGTCCCCTCTCGTGGAAGTCTCTGGATCTGGGTGCCCCAGACTCATGCTGGTCCCCAGCTCCCCATTGACTTCATTTATTGCCCCATAGGGTTGGTAGAAAGTTTGAGGGGAGGGGGCCAGGTATTGGCGCCGAGACTGCTGTCTTGGCCACAGACCGCATCCCGCTCCGCAGAACACCCCGGTTGTTTGGCTGACCCAAGGTAAGATACTCTGCCAAGCCTCCCGAATCTCGACACGCAGGATTGGCTACTTGGCAGTGCGTGCAAATCGTGACACAATCGATGATCCGAGAGCCTCGACCGAGGGGTGGAGGATTCTGTGGTTACAAAGGTAGTTGTATAGCTATGAGCCCGAACGCAGATTCACGTGGAAGTCATAGCTCCAAGAGTAAATATCGGATTGCCACCGAGGTCGTGGGTCATATGGTACGTATCTTGCAGCCCCCAATAGCTAAGTATTCTGTTGACCTTTTGCCGGATAATTGGATGAAACCATACGCGGTGTGGTGAACCAAATCGTCACAATCAACAGTCCCTGAAGAAGCTGTCAGTAGTTATTCACAGTTTAACCTTCTCACAAACATGACTAACAGTAACGTAGCCAAGAATGTCTGTTTGGATCATCTTAGCCAATGCCAATCTTGCCAAGGAGAAGACAAGAAAGGTAATTACAAATAAATAGGGCACCTTCACGGTTGTCCAAAACTGGCCCGACAAAACCATTGAATTCTCGCGCGTCGCAACAGAAACAATGTACCTGACTAACATGTCTCCAATTGGGTGGAAAGGGGCAGATGTATAGCCACCAGTGCCCGAGGTTCGATAAACATTCTACCACTAGGCCACTCGTCACTACCAGGTACTATTACCAGACCAGGCACATCTGATTCTGGGCAAGACGGGGATTTAGAGGGCACTGATGGCGGAGATTGGACGACAGGCGGAAATCCACCCTTGGCACTTGGCCTTGGCTCGTAGCGGGTGGATGTCTTAACACCTTGGCATGGGTTGCAGTGGAATACTATCCAGTTGAAATGTCTGTCACATGTTCAATTGCAACAACCTGGGATTCCGACAGGAAGAATGAAATAATTATTCATCGACTGCCAAGGTGGGGCCCGATCGATGCAAGAAAAATATATCACTCCACTATTGGCAGCAATATGTTATTTTTTAGCACGAGTAAATACTACTATTATGCTTTACACTACAATGTGTGGTATTTGGGTCATCTGGCGATAGAGGACACTGTATCGGTCATTGGAAGGATTATGATCACTTACAATACTGGTCCCATGGTTTAGGGGGAAGAGGGAAATTGATAGAATTACTATCGTCCTCTCTACTAGTAATACATTGAAGTTCGATAAGACTGAATATGTAAACGCGATTAAACGTTCTGAAATCTCTAGCGTTCTATACCTTGATCCCATATATCCTCTAGTAGTTGAAAAATTCTGTGAAGGACCGCATCATTATAGCACTTGCACTTCAAGGCACCCAATACCTGTCAGTTGACATTACATACGGTTGATGGGCGCATCCAGCGCACATCCAATCAATCCACCGTCAATAACTGCTCACAGAACCCCCCAAATCCACGCGCCCGATCGTGGATGTGGATCTCCAGAATCCAGTGCCGCATGTGTCCATCACGGCCCGGAACCATCATCTTATCCCCATTGCCTTGCGCGATATATAAACTGATTTTATCATTCGGAATTCTCTCATGCGGAAACGACCCGACCAGGTGGCCTGCAATGGGAGCACCGAAATCCCACCCAGCTTGTTGGACCTCCTGGCAGGCAATGGCATACAATTCTTCCGCCGTCATATCCGGGTTTTCTCGAAACCGTCGCTTGACTGTGTGCCATATGGGGTCCAGAGCATCGCGCAGTTTCAGCTTTGCGGGGTCATCCCCAAGCACGTATGTGCGCCCGAAGTCGGCTTCCCATTCCTCGAAGACCGGACCGAGGTCCACCACCAGTATGTCGTCTGGTTGAATGATGCGATCCGGAGGGTTCTCGGCAAAGGGACTCAAGGTGTTTGGTCCGCTGCGGACGACGCGCTTATGCCAGTGGGTGCGGACTCCATGGCGTTTGGCTCCGAGCTCATGGATCGCAGTGCTGAGAGCCTTTTCACTCACGCCGGGCCGAATCAGGTCTCGTTCAATTTCTTCGAAAAGTTGCACCGCTTTGTTCTGCGCGTCCAGAAGGTAGGCGGCGCGCTCGCTTTCAATTGAAGTCGACATTCCAAGTAGAGACAACAAAGTACGAGGCCAAGTGATGGGAGTGGACAAGGGACGATTTCGAGGGGAAATGCGATGAGTCCAAGCATATGTGGGGATGGGGGAAAGATAAGGATGACAAATGGAGCTAAGCTCACTCGGTCGCATCATGTCGAAGCGGGGTTGGCATCACCAGAGGTGGGGGACTGATTTTGAGAATATCATCACAACCACAATCTACAGTGTTAGAGTCTACATTGTAGCAACATGGACCCCTCACTTGTTGCTGACATCCCACTTACCCAAACATTTCACTATCGTACTACTACTCATCACTACGACGTGCGCTGGACTGCAATAGGTGACGCTTCCCTGCCACCATTGATCTTCGTGCATGGCACCCCGTGGTCTTCGCGAGTGTGGCACGTCTTTGCAAGATCCCTGGCTAGATATTTCCATGTCTATCTCTTTGACAACCCGGGATTCGGCGAGAGTCCACTGGGAACTCCTCTCCCAGGGAAAGAGGAAGCCATTAGCAAAGAAGTCGCCCTAGATGCGGATCTCGCACAGCAGTCGGAGGTGTTTGCTGCCCTTTACCAATCTTGGTCGAAGGACTGGCCTCGGGCGCATAAGAAGGCACATGTTGTTGCCCATGATCACGGGGGGCTGATGAGCTTACGGGCGCATCTCATCCATTCCTGCGAGTTTGCCAGTCTGTGCTTGATTAATGTGGTTGCTTTGGGGCCATTCGGGCAGCCTCTGTTCAAATCGGTGGCGGAAAATGAAGACGTCTTTACCAGTTTGACCGGGCCCGATGTTCGAAGGAATGGTTGAGGCATATATTCGGAATGCGGCATACACAGAGCTGAGGAAGGAACGATGGCAATGTTGAAGCGCCCGTGGATTATCAATGAGGAAGGCAGAAAAGGATTCATTAGACAGATGGCGCAAGCCAATAGTCGCAGTACAGAGGCAGTCGAGGGGAGATACTCCGAAGTGGGCCAGGTGATGCCTGTCAGGATTATCTGGGGGACAGAAGACCAATGGATCCCGGTGGAGACGGCAGAGAGACTAAGAGCGAAGTTGAATGCCAGGGAGGTAGTGCTGATCGAAGGAGCAGGGCATCTTGTCATGTATGATCAGGAGGGAAGGTTAGGAATGGAATTGGGATGGTGGTTGAGTGAAGTCAGCCATGCCCAGGGATAGATAATGTTGAAACGACGTTTTAGGTCAATACTGAAGTCGTTGAAAACGCTTGATTCTTCGCTATCTAGGCGCGCTCAGAGAAGCAGTTGAAGTTACGGAGTTCGGGTCACGTGACCTCAACTACTAGTAATCTACTAAGATTACATTCCAACACGGCCCCCTAGGCGAGGGAGCGTTCGTAACAAGACTCTAGACATTATCTAAATAGAAAGAAACAGCTATCTCAACCAGTGTTTTCTAGATGCAGATTCAGGAAGGAGATGGGGGTCATTCTAAGAAGATGTTTGAATACTTTGAATAATTTATTATCAAGCGGTTTGGTGAGGCCGTCTGCTGGATTAATAATCTCTGGAATATATTGAATGGTGATAGTGTTCTTCGTGATCAGATCGGCTATGAATAGATAACAATTATCAAGCCATCTAGTGGATCTGGTATAGTCTTTATGGTTCAGGATCCGTAGAAAGTTAGCAGTGTTAGTGTATAAGAATATTCTACTGTTAACGGAGATTTTAAAATTAAATACTTCAATTAATTTCTTTATATACAAGACTTCTTTGGCGGTGGAGTCAAACGCGTAGTATTCTACTATTATAAATAATAGTGCAACTAGCGATTATTTTCTAGATGACCAGCTGATTGGACTGCCAGTGTAGAAAATAATATATTTTTTTATTGATTTGCTGTCTTCGTGGTCAGCATGGGCGGTATCTACGAAGACTTTGATATCTTTAGTATAATTAATAGTAAGAATGATCCTGTATGGGATAGACCTTTTCAAATATTTGTATATAATTTTCAATATTTTAGTATCAGTTGTAGTAGGAGTGTTCATGCGCCTTTAAAGTCTAAATGTTGTATGATGTATATTAGGATGAGTCTTTGTAGTTAGCCAGTTTAAATATTCTATAAGACTTTAATATTCGGCTAGGTTGATATTTTCAGTAGTTATATTCAAGTAATCTAACTTTTTATAAGCAACGGTTATTAAAATAGCGGAGGAGATGTAGAATCCTAGATTTATTATATTAAGATACTTCTCCATGTATATTAGTTAGGATAATAATATCATGCCTGCTTAGTAGTTATATTGAATATTATATTCTAGTAGAATCTTTGGTTCCTCTATTTTCTTCAGATTAAATATCTTATTTAAATATTATTTAATCTCGGCTAGGTCTTTCTTCCTGGGGCCAGCAATAGCGGAGTTATTAATATAAATAATTAACTAGATATTATTTTTTTTATATACACAGGGATCCTTTCTTAGTGGTTTGAAACCGATTTTTTTAAGTGTTTTGTTAAATATTTGATACCAGAGGTGGGCCGCCTGGTGGAGGCTGTAGAGAGTTATTTTTAATAGATATATTTAATCTAATAATTTTTTATAGTATTTAATAGATTATTTTATGAATACGCGTTTGCCCTGTATCTGCGCGTGTAGATAAGTAGATACTATATTATATTATTCTTATTCAAGATCTTTTATAGTAATATTTGTTATGAATAGCTTCAGGACCGCTTCGCTGGCAATAGAAGTGAATGATTTGTTATAATTAATATCTAGTATCTGGCGGTTGTTATAAACTACCCATCTAACACGGAATTAGATAATGAATCTGTCAGTGTTGATCTTGAGATCGTACACCCATTTGTTTGAGATTACGCGAGCGGTTGGAGATCAGTTTATAATCTTATAGATGTCTATATTCTATATCTTATTAATCTGTATATTTATAGTATTTTTTTAGTATAGTGCCAGCGGGGACTTTATTACTTTGTTATAGATATTTGGAACAATTACTTTGTGTTGTTTAAGGTGGGGTAGGATCATCCGGTCAATCATAGCTAGTTATTAGTAATTTGGCTATATTAATAATTTGTTTTTAGTAGTTTTTATGGAGTATTTTAATATGGGTTATTCTTCTAGCTTAGTAAAGTCCGGCAGGTGGTAGTCCTACGTGGCGTATTTTATTGAGAATATCTCGTATTCTGTGGTATTCTTGATTAAGTGTGTAGGTGGAGACTTTATAGAGATAGATATAATATAGATTCTATCTTAGATAATATTTTTTTTAGGATCTGGTTGCTTAATCAGAGTCCTTGTGTTATCTGATATATTAATTGTTTGGTATAGGAATATGTTATCTAACTTGAGTGTAGTATCTGGGCCAGCTGGTATTAGTTCTTTAGAATTAGATTCGCGTGTAGAAACTTTATTAGGATTTTTCTTATCATTCTTATAGGTTCAATCTTTATTAAATTTAACATTTTGTAATTATTTAATTTTATCAGATATAAAATCTTATATATAATAAACATGTCCGTTGTCCCCATTGAAACCAACGAAGTATCCGACTTTTGCACAAGATCCTATTTTCTAGAATGTGACTCGATCTTCCTGTGGGATGTGTTGGTAGGCATGATATCTAAATACACGTAGGAAGTCTAGTGACGCGTTAGAATTTAGAAGATTATAATAGGATTTATATAAAAACATGGGGATTTTTCTAACAGCGCTGTAGTAGAAGACAAGGCGATTTAGAATCTGTACTAAGAAATATACAGCATACGGCTAGAAGTAAGTAGAGAGACTAATATCTAGTATTATAATTCTATTTATTCAGTTAAGTAAGCCGCCGTATCGTTCAACTAGGCTGTTGGCTTCGGGTGTTTAAAAAGATGATATTTTGATTTAAATATCTTATTTTATATAATTCACCTATTTTCTAAAATGGTTGAACTCGCGGCCATCATCTAGATGCCAGGTGGCCATGTATCGGCCAACTATATTTTTATATTTTATATTTATTCTAATCAGCTCATCGGAGATATCATCTTTATATTTAAGCATGGCCGTCTTCACTAAGCGAGTAGTATTATTAATTATAAGTAAAAAGTAATTAAATCTACTATGATTAATTGGGATTATTTTTTAGATATCTGTATGCCAGAGCTGTATTGGATCATTAGTTTTTAGAATTAGATTTCTTGAAATAAGACGTGTGGTCTTGCTTAGCAAGTATGCTTCGCATTCTAGAATATTTTTATATTTAAGTTTAATTTGATAATTCTTTATAATAATAGCGATTTGGTGGAATCCTGCGTGTCTGTATCACTGGTGCAAGAGTAGGAGGTCCACTGCTGCTAGTATTAGATTAGGATTTTTTATTTTAATAAAAAGTATGTTTTTTGATATCTACAGATAGCTAATAATCTTGTTATCTTAGTCTCTACGTAGAGTCAGGTTCTTAGTAGTAGCGTAGATGCTAAAGTCTATATATAAACAGTTGGAAGAAAGGAGCCCGTAAAGTAGATCTAGTTGATAATAAGTCTTGATTTTTAATATTATATTTTAGCTGTTTATAGTTAGAGTCAGGATTAGATATTCTGCTGATTTTGCAATACCGATTCCCCCGTTTAAAATATCATATTGGTAGTATTCGTGGGATTTTAATTAGTAGAGACTGCTTAGAAAAGCATAATCAGGTATTAGATATTATAAGCTATTTGTATTATATATCTAGCATAGTAAGATGTTCGTGGCGTTTATAATAATTAAACCAGAAAAATTCAAAATATATAGATTTTTATTATTGGATTCTATTTCATTTATTATTGTATTTGATGCTTCGCTAGACTACGATTCTTTGAACCACTAGATGTCTTTTATACGAGGCCTATAATCCTCTGGCTGGAGATCAGAATTTAAGCGCTAGCAGATAGTTGCTTTATAGTCTAATATTTTATAAAAAGCGTAGTGTTTCTTAGTCATCTCTAGCTTTAAGTTTTATATTTTTCTAATATATTTCTCAGGGGTCATTTCTTTTAGTAGAAATATTAATTTCTTCTATTCTAAGATTATTATAGTATTTTCTAACTTGGTGATGCTTCCAGTGTTCTTCACTGACGTAATAAAAGAATATCTTTGTATTTATTTATTATTTTATTTAATTATAATTTTGTAATAAACTAAAAACTCTTTCTTCTAGAGGATGTCTATAATATTATCAGGCAAATTGTACTCTACTATTAACACCCACGTTGGAAGGTCCGATTCTAGTTTTTTGAACAGGTATAATAATCTGTAGTATAATAATATTCCAACTTTTAATTTTTTAGCGAAGTTATATGCGTGTTTGAACGCCTCTATATATTATTCAATGGTAGAGTAGTCGGATCAGCGTTTATAGATAAGATCAAAGTATATTATTTAGCAAAGTATATGGCTATAACCTAGAACGAATAATTTGATAACTTCGTAGGCATCATCCGCGTAGTTATACGCGTCAGGGGACGTCATCAGTGCTCTTTTTAGAAGATTTGACAGCTGGCTAGCTAGCTAGGACTGGATGTTGATTGATAGATAATACTATAGCTAGTAATTTATATAATTTATACTAGAATAGGATAGACCCTTGTCAATTATATCTTATAGACTAATGTTTTTCAGGATTTAATATATTTCAAAATACTATATTAAATAGTCTTCTCGCCTTTTCAATCTTTTAAATACAGGTTGAACATCTTCTAGTAGCTTTACTAAAAGCCTATCTGCTTGTGTCTTTGGTTATATGGCTACTGCCTCTGTATTTAAAACATATTATAAAAAGTGGTATCTGCCTGGTTGCGACATTCTGGGATCTGCTTCCAGCGGTTGAATATTTTGATATTCGCGGTATTTTGTTGGAACGTAATCTCAGTAGATTACTAGTAGTCGAGGTCACGTGACCCGAACTCCGTAACTTCAACTGCTCCTCCGAGCGCGCCTAGATAGCGAAGAATCAAGCGTTTTCAACGACTTCAGTATTGACCTAAAACGTCGTTTCAACAGGTTATGAGCCCGGCTCTTCGCTCGTGAGGCTAACCAGCAAAGATCTGAGCCACCATACACACGAAGCAAGCCGCAATTGCAACGGGGACACGCACCGCGATACCCCTATCTCAAAACACCAAAACACCGCGAATATCAAAATATTCAACCGCCGGAAGCAGACCCCAGAATGTCGCAACCAGGCAGATACCACTCTTTACAACATGTCTCGAATACAGAGGCAGTAGCCATACAACCAAAGACACAAGCAGATAGGCTTCCAGTAAAGCTACCAGAAGGCGTTCAACCCGTATCTGAAAGGTTGAAAGGGCGAGAAGACTACTCAACGTGGCGCTTTGAAATATGTCAAATCCTGAAGAACGTCGGTCTACAAGACATGATCGACAAGGGTCTATCCCATCCTAGTACAAACCACACGAATTACTGGCTATGGCACCACCTGTCAATCAACATCCAGTCCTGGCTAGCTAGCCAGCTGTCAGACCCCCTAAAGAGGGCACTGATGACGTCCCCTGACGCGCACGACTACGCGGACGATGCCTACGAAGTCATCAAATCACTCGTCCTAGGCCACGGCCACACGCTTTGCCAAACAACGTACTTCGACCTCATCCACAAACGCCGATCCGACTACTCTACCGTTGAACAATACGTGGAGGCGTTCAAACACGCATACAACTTCGCTAAAGAGTTGAAAGTCGGGATATCACCATACTGCGGGTTGCTACACCTGCTCAAAGAGCTGGAATCCGACCTTCCAACGTGGGTGTCAACAGTGGAGTGCAATTTGCCTGATAATGCTGCGGACACCCTCCAGGAGAAAGAGTTTCTAGTTTACTGCAGGACCGCAATCGAACAAGGTAATAAACAAATGCAAAGATATTCTTTCGCTGCGCCAGCGAAGAACACTGGAAGCACCACCAAGTCGGGAAGCACTGCAACGACCTCAGAGTGGAAGAAATCAACATTCCCACCGAAAGGAACGACCCCTGAGGAACACGCTAGAAAGATGCGAAACTTGAAGCCAGAGATGACTAAGGGACGCTGCGCTTTCTGTAAGACACTAGGCCATGGAGCAACCACCTGCTGGCGCTTGAATCCTGACCTCCGGCCAGAGGATTATAGGCCTCGTATAGAAGGCATCTGGTGGTTCAAAGGATCGAAGCCTAGCGAAGCATCAAATGCAGCGGTAGGCGAAATAGGATCCGATGACGAAAACCCGTATATTTTGAATTTTTCTGGCCTAGCCGTTGCAAACGCCACGAACACCTCGCTACGCTGGATATATGATACAGGCAGCTCACAGCATCTAACACCTGACTGCGCTTCCCTAAGCGGTCTCCACCAATTGAAACCCCACGAATACTACCAATATGGCACCTCGAACGGGGGAATCGGTGTTGCAAAATCGGCAGGGTATCTGACCCTGACCCTAGCTGCAAACGGCCAAAATACGGTGTTGAAGATCAAGGCCTACCACCAACCGGACCTACCCTACGGGCTCCTTTCTTCCAACCGCCTACGTACAGACCTTGGCATCTACGCTACCACTAAGGACCTGACCCTACGCAGGGACCGGGATGACAAGATCGTCGGCCACCTGCAGGCATCGAAAAACGTGCTTTTCGTCAGGACAAAAGACCCTGACCTAGCGCTAGCGGCAGTGGACCCCCTACTCTTGCACCGGCGATACGGGCACGCAGGATTCCGCCGAATCGCTACCACTGCAAAGGATCATCAAATTGAACTCGAACACAGGGACACCCTAGAGTGCGAAGCATGCTCGCTAGGCAAGGCCACACGCCTCGTTTCAAGGGACCCAATCCCAAAGACTAATGATCCAACACAGCTCTGGCATGCAGACATCCAAAAGGTGACCCCGATTGGTCATGGCGGATTCAACTACTTTCTACTCATGGTCAACAACGCTACTCGCTTAGTGAGGACGGCCATGCTTAAACACAAAGATGACGCCTCCGACGAGCTGATCAGGATGAATATGGAACACAAGAATATGGTCGGCCGATACGTGGCCACCTGGCACCTAGATGGTGGCCGCGAGTTCAACCGCTTTAGGAAATGGGCGAATCATGCAGAGCGAGGCATTCAAATCAAAATATCACCTCCTCGAACACCCGAAGCCAACGGCCTAGCTGAACGATACGGCGGCTTGCTCAACCGAATGAGCAGGGTCATGATACTAGATGCTGGCCTCCCTGCTCACCTCTGGCCGTACGCTGTACGCCTCTCAGCGCAGATCCTGAATCGCCTCGTCCCCTACCACAGCGCTGTCAGGAAGACCCCCGTGTTCCTATACAGATCCCACTACAACCTCCCGAATCCTAACGCGTCACTAGACTTCCTACGCGTATTCGGATGTCGTGCCTACCAACACATCCCGCAGGAAGATCGAGTCGCATCCCAGAAAATGGGACCTCGTGCAAAAGTCGGATACTTCGTCGGTTTCGATGGGGACAACGGACACGTTTACTACGTGTGGGATCCTATATCTGATAAAATTAAACGATCACGAGACGTTAAATTCAACGAAGATCGAACCTACAAGGATGACAAGGAGGATCCCGGTGGAGTTCCTACACGCGAACCTGACCCTAAAGGACCAACACCAGCTGGCCCAGGTGCCGCGCTCAAGTTAGACAACGCGTTCCTGCACCAAACAACCAATATATCAGATAACACGAGGGCCCTGATTGAGCAACCGGACCCTGAAGAAGACGTCATCCGAGGCAGAATCCACACCATATCTGCCTCCGCAGAGCCTCCACCTACACGCTCGATCGAGAATGCCACAGAATACGAGGCATCCTCAACGAAATACGCCGCGCAGGACTACCGCCTGCCGGACCCTACTGAGCCAGAAGAACAACCCATACTGAGGCGCTCCGCAAGGACCACTAAAGGCAAATCATCAACATGGCCAGATTACCAACAACTGGCCACGGTTGACCGGGTGACCCTACCCCACCTCAAACAACACGAAGTGGTCGTTCCGAACACCTACAGCGAAGCGATGAAGTCCCCGCTGGCACCATACTGGAAAGATGCTATGGATACACAGATCGATAAGATACAGAATATGGGCACCTACGAGATCGTGAACCGACCTCCAACCGCTCGCGCAATCCCAGGCAAGTGGGTGTACGACCTCAAGGTCAACACTGACGGATTCGTCACCCAATTCCGTGCTAGATGGGTAGTCTGCGGCAACCGCCAGATACCAGGCATCGATTACGACGAATCGTTCGCTCCTGTCGCCAGCGAAGCGGCCCTGAAGCTATTCATGACGAACGTCGCTATAAAAGATCTTGAATGGGAACAATGTGATATAGTATCTGCTTATCTACACGCGCAGATACAGGGCAAACGCGTGTTCATGAAACAACCTACCGGATACCATGAAGGACCACCGGATCAGGTGTGCCTATTAAAGATGGCCCTCTACGGCCTCCGCCAGGCGGCCCACCTCTGGCACCAAACGTTTGACGAAACACTTAAAAGAATCGGTTTCGAACCACTGAGGGAGGATCCCTGCGTATACAAAAAGGGTGATATCTGGTTGATTATTTATGTTGACGACTCCGCTATCGCTGGCCCCAGGAAGGAAGACCTAGCCGAGGTCAAACAACACCTAAACAAGGCATTTGGCCTGAAGGAAATGGGGGAACCAAAGGTTCTACTAGGATGCAACGTTCAACGTGACTACCAAGCAGGCACGATATCACTATCCCAACCAACGTACGTGGAGGAGTGCCTCAATGCAGCGAACCTAGGATCCTGCACCCCCTCCGCCATTCCGATGACCGTTGCCTACAAAAAGTCAGATCGCTCGAATATGACTACCGAAAACGTCAACCTAGCCGAATATCAAAGCCTTGTAGGGCGTTTGAACTGGCTAACCACAAAGACCCGCCCCGATATACGTCATGCAACGTTTAGACTTCAAAGGCGCATGAACACTCCCACTACGGCCGACGCTAAAGCATTGAAAATTGTATACAGATATCTGAAAAGGTCCATCCCGTACGGGATCACCCTCGCCACTGACCATACCAAAGGCATCGAAGTCTTCGTAGATGCCGCCCACGCTGACCACGAAGACGGCAAATCAACGGAGGGATACGTCATCTTCTACGCTGGCGGCCCAATCAGCTGGTCATCCAGGAAGCAATCGCTAGTTGCACCGTCATCTACGGTAGCAGAATACTGCGCGTTTGACTCCGCCGCCAAAGAAGCCTTGTATATAAAGAAATTGGTTGAAGCGTTTGACCTCAAGGCCTCCGTTGACGGCAGGATACCCTTGTACACCGACGCCGCCAACTCCCTACGGATCCTGAACCACGGAGGCTACACCAGGTCCACTAGATGGCTCGATAATCGTTACCTATTCGTAGCCGATCTGATCACGAAGAACGCTATCACCATTCAACACATCCCAGGGACCACCAACCCGGCGGACGGCCTCACCAAGCCGCTTGATAACGAATCGTTCAAAGCGTTCAGGCACCTCCTCGGAATGACCCCCATCTCCTCCCCGAACCTGCATCCAGGGAACACCGGTTGAGATAGCCGTTCCTTCCTATCTAGGCAATGCCTAGAGCCTCGTTACGAACGCTCCCTCGCCTAGGGGGCCGTGTTGGAACGTAATCTCAGTAGATTACTAGTAGTCGAGGTCACGTGACCCGAACTCCGTAACTTCAACTGCTCCTCCGAGCGCGCCTAGATAGCGAAGAATCAAGCGTTTTCAACGACTTCAGTATTGACCTAAAACGTCGTTTCAACAGAAACTAACGCTAGGGGTGCTCGGCCGAAGATTAGGCAACCATCTTACTCTACAGGTATGGCTCGAGGGATCGCTTTGACTGGACCGGTCCACGCATGCAACTTGGAGGACCCCACTCCACACTGTAGTGGCACGGGAAGTAGCAAGGGACTGGAAAATAAACGCTTGTATGCTTCTATCCTGGTTGCAGATGCATGGTATGTCCTTCCAAGGTGTGAATGCTGCATATGGTTGGTGCCGTTATGTTGCATTGACTAGCTAGCATTTTAGAGTAAGTGGCACCAGCCACTGCTTCGAGTGAATTGGGTTCTCCACTTTCAAAACACGCAATGTTAACTAACACTATCTTCCCATATGGCATCGCTTCACTTCCATTGGTGGAAAGCCGAGATAATATAAGGTCAGATCAGGTTGTGGAGTATCATCTTATCACACTCGCAAAAACTTCGGCCATAAAACCGAATACGTGCGTGGCTGTGCTGTTGAAGGTGTAACGAATGATGGCCTGGCCATGTTTACATGGTACCCGGATACTATGAGTGACCAACAATTGAGATGATTGCCACCTACTTACTATCCAAAGCCAGACGCCAATTTCACAACAGTTTACGTTGGTCGATGTTCGTCTTTCTTGCTACTCAGAATTGAAAAATATGATCTTGGTGGGTGGTGTGGACCTGGGCCCTTTCCCGGACGAAGCTTAAACGAAAGTGGAGAACCAGCGAAGTCCGACATCCAGGGATGGAGATTAGCGCCGAACCATGACACATAGTCGCAGGCCCTGAACCCACGGTACCCTTTTTCTATGCGATGCCCGGGATCCGTTTTCCCACTCATTAGCGACTCCAAAAAATCAATGACAATGTGATCAGCGTTGGCTGACGCGTTCTCTAATCAATCCTTCACGCCCCAAGGTCCAGAAACCTTGCTGAAGAGCTCCGGCCTCCAACCTACCTATGGGTTTGAGCATCATGTTGACCCAGAACTATGTCTTCAGGAGCGGTTGATTCTGATGCTCGCGGCAAGGTCTGGACCTCACCTTCAGGAAATTGCAATAATCGGCCCACGTTTCTCTGACATCGTGTTGACATTCCTAATCAGTTATCCCCTGGCGTCTTGCAAATGTAGGACAGGGAAAAGAGATAAATTGTCTGCAAACCCTCTGTTCTTCAATTAACATTCTTCACACTCTCTTGTTCTGTGCCTCATCATATCGAGAAACTCATCCGCAACCATGTTCAGAAACATTGTTACTGCAGCTCTCCTATCCTTTGCCCTTGCCAGTGCCTCAACCGCGCACACAAATGGCCAAGCCCCCTGCGCAAAGGTGCACATGATGCTTGCCCGAGGAACTACCGAAAGCTACCCTGGCCTTCTGGGGTCTTTGACTGAACTGGTCGTGGATGCTGTCCCGGACAGCGATTACGAAAATATCATCTATCCCGCCACTCAGGAAGGATCAACCCCCAGCTATGAGGAGGGAATTTACAATGGGACTACCCAGCTGAAGGCTTATGTGAAGGCTTGTCCGGAATCCAAGGTGGTTCTGTTCGGATATTCTCAGGTACCTCCCTTTTCTCGGATTTGTGTTTCTCACTTACTGACTCTCTGACAGGGAGCTATGGTTGTGAGCGACATGCTGGCTGGTGGCGGTGATAACGGAACTTTGGGAAATATCACCGCTCCTGCTGTTGACCCTGAAACCGGATCGCACAGTAAATGACTGAATCTCATCTGTTTAAACCCAATCATATGCTAATATTCATCAGTTGCTGCTGTCCTTCTCTACGGAGACCCCCGTCACATGCCCAACCAAACATACAACGTCGGAGACGTGACAGCTACTGGCGTAAGTCACATCCAGAACACTTTCAATGGACTGAAGAAGTCAGTTAGTTGATATTGAATTTTTAAATAGAAATACCCACGCACTCCCGAGCAACTTGCGGCCCTGTCGCAGTATGCCGATAGACTCCACGACTACTGCGACGACAAGGATGGCGTTTGCGATGCTGCCGGAACAAACCTCTCCGCTCACCTGGCTTATGCCACTATTTGGGACAAGGTCGCTGCTACTTGGGTTGAGAGCATGATGCAAAAATAAGGTTTCACCTTGACTTCGCGAACACGGGTTACAGTCAGGGGATTTTGGCGGTGGCTGAGGCGGAAAGGTTTCTTGAAGGGGAGATCTGATCTCGTTTTTGTAATATAGCATAAATTTATGCGCCATAGTGGCAGTGTACAATACGTTCTTATATTCTTCATACTTGCATTACAGACGATCGGCGACTTCGTAGGCCTGCGCCAGATTGAAGACATGGTGCTGTGGTAGACATGCTTTTTTCTTTAGTTGAAGGGCTAGGACAGTTCCTCAGGTGCGGTAGACTCAGTGTGCGCTGGTCGGACTACAAATAATCGTGAGCTAAGCTAGTAACTGCTTAGCTTTGCCTCAAGAGTGTTTCTTGAAGTGGGATGGACGCGTAAATAATTAGGGTCCACATATTGGAGGCGAGCCCCAAAATCCGAATACCGAATGCCGCGTCTCCACTTTGTCCCTGTGAACCGCGTTATTAACTCAAGTGTAGATCCCACATTGAGTCGCCTCATCATGGCTCGCCAGAGCTGAGACTGGGTAGGAAATCCCGGACTTTGATTTAAAGCTAATACACTACTACATCTCAGGCCTGAACAGGAATGTCGATTTCCAGCCCCACATTTGTCCTATTGGCATCACCAGCAATAGCTGGTTCTACCGCTCGGTGGAAGGTCTCTTTCGCTGAATGTGTCCTTTTTTTTAACCTATGGGATTCTCCAACTTATTTCGACACGGGTATTACAGTGATCCCGGATACCACAAAGCAGAGTTGAACATATTAGATAAGTCGGTCGTCGGCGGCAAGTAGGTCCCTAATAAGGTTTGAAGTGGATCTTCAGGATAGAATAGTTGGTCTGGGCCAATGGCCGATGAACCTTCAATGTCCGGAAGAACGAGGGGTTCCTCATTCTTTACAGGAGCAATATCAGCAAGTGATATGAAAGGGGGTGCATAACTGGAACCTACCATAACGTGACTTGGCTGCATAGGAAAACCGGACGAGTCGTTCTTTCCGCCAGTCATTGGCCCAATATTATCTGACTCGAGGCGCGAAGTCCGTCGCGAGCCCATGGTCTGTGACCTGGCTTGTACATCCCGCACAAATTGACGGGCAATGTGAGAAAATTCAGCGGCACTTGATGCCGGAAGAGAATCTTTGTTACTGATCTCCCAGCGGCTGAAATAACCGGCTGCTATGTCCAGGAACGAGATATTGGTGGCCGTCTCCTTGTGGAGCGGGTTGTGGATAACAAAGTCAAAGATAACAAAAAGAGCCGAGATGGGCACGATACCGAGTTGCCTGTTACGATTAGTGTCGGTGGGAACATGGCCCCGGATGGGACCTCTTACCAGACTGGGACATGCGCTTCATGCTCAATATACCGTGTATGGTATATAACGGCTCGGGCGGCCTCCATCAGTTGACGCTTGGTCTCTTGGTTCGTCTCACTGGGTTGGTCGACCGTAAGATGGATTCGAAGCCGACACATAGACATAACCAATGCATAATATATAAATCTGATTTGTAGCGCCATATCTTGCGCGCAGGGGTTCTTGCTTTTGGAGAAGCGAATTGGAGTTCCGGGCTGATAGGGTTCCGGAAGGGTGCAATTCCACGCTTCTAGCTCGCGCGATATCGAGTCTATCGCTGCGATACGGGCATCTGTATGCATCTGAACCGCACTCACGGAGAAGAGACATTCGTAAGTGCGAGACATCAGCCGACCTAGGCGTGCTGTCGTTAATAGCCAATCAAGCTGTCCAGGGACAGTATCGGGGGGTTCCGGAACGGGACAGCCTATGTCATAATCGGGTATCATCTAAATTTCTGATTAGCCATGCCACACATGAAGATGTAGTTACCCTTACCGAACCACGCCCTCGGAAAAACGAGGTGACCTTTTCCAGCCAATATATAACCCAGAAGGCTCTGTGGCATGATCTTTCATCCTCCGTTTGTACGTATGCGGCGTTGTATCCCAGTAACTGAACTATTCTCGCGGCCTCGGAAACCAAGGTTTCACCGATAGGTATACAAGAGAAGCTCATTGTGAAAATGCCCTGAAACTTGATTTAGCGGAATGATACTATAATTCACTACTCCCTCTACTCACCATGGCCGTTAATGCCTGATTAGGCTGTCAGCTAGAATTCAAATAGGGTGGAATACACGCACTTGGACATGAAGTAAACCTTGGGGCGGAGCAAGTATCTTTGGGAAGAGGCTCAATGCGCACTGAAAATATTTCCATGCTTTACCTTTCCCTGGAATGAAAGAGCCACCATCCATATACTGGCATCCTAGTGCCAGCAGAGTATGATATAGTGCACAGAATGGCGCATTGTTTTCCAGTATTTCCGATAATCCTGGGTCTGAGACTCTCCGTTCAAAGTCGGCTCGGTCCAGGAATGGTGTCAAGGGGTGTAAGTCATCGAAATACACTGGGAGTCTGTGTCAAAATGCGGACCCACACGAGATAAAACTTGTGTGTCTCTGACCTGTGATATAATGAGCTGCCTCCTCATGGGGGATTTGAACAGGTGGCTCGGGAGCGCTGAAATCTATGTCAATTCCATGTGCATGCTGATGCATTGCTTCCCCCATGGCATCAAGAAGGTCTCTCAGTCTGCTGTGACCCAGTATATTGGTAAGGGAGTGGATAGGCTATCTGAAAAGAAGGCCATGCCGGTACTAAGGAC